CGGCAAATTTGTAGTACGTTTCTAGGACATTTTTGGCTTATCTCAAGTAAAAATCTTCTAGCTCATAAAATGGCTTCAAAATCCATCAGAAATGGCAATTTCAGGACCATCAAAAGTTTTCCTTGCCCGTACCTTTCCTCATTGCAAACATGAGGCGGAAATGATCTCCACGTATGTTCTTTCAGATGTCCTGAAATGCGCCACAGAGTCTCCTGAAACATGAACTCTTTGCCGTACCGAAATGTAGCCATATTGAGTCATTTCAGGTTCATTTCAGGCTACACAAAATTTATCATTTTCTTGCACCGCAAATGGCCACGAAAGTGGTAGCATATCTATCATTTTGGGACACCGGAAAGCCCCGGTTAAGTCTCCGAAAATGAAACATTTTTGATGGCTTGACCGGGACATTTCAGGTGATCTGAAATCAGCTCATGCCTGTAGTGTCGTGATGTGGGACCTTGTGAGACTTTATGAGACTTTCAAGTGGAAATGACTCTAAGGTCACTCGAAATCACTAGCTACCATCGCTGGAGCGCTGTTCTCACTCCTGTCTCGAGGCTACGTCTGCGAGGACAGTTTAGAGCTGCCTAAGTTAGAACTTAGAACGTTTGGCGGGCAGAGCTTAGCCGGCAAGTCATGGCTTTCAAGACCAAATTCATTGCACTCTTACCTTGTAGTGAAACGCGAGATTGTCCGAGGACGGAGCTCAGGCTGAGACCGATGTCCCTCGGGATTGCCAAGTCCGTTCATGCCGGGTAGGGAGATGACCGTACAGCCGGGGGATCCTCGCTACTCCTGTGACCACGCAGCCTGACGCAATCGCGCCAGCATAATTTATGAGGCAAGGCCTACCGGGTACGTTAACTATGAGGTGCGATGGGAAAGGACATCACTCGCCATGAGAGGGACACGAGTCCCACGAATGTTCGCTACATACCTCTGAGCAGTACAAAGCTTGCGCCCAGGTGATCCAGCAAGACAGACTACGGCTTTCAGAGCCTTAAGAGCCTCGTAAAGATTGAGTAACAATTACTATGGAAACGTCCTACAGAGCAGCTATGATCGTGGAATGAACCTACTAGTAGGTGCTGCATATGGTATAAACTCCCGTGTTCGGCGCTTGCTGATCCGTCGTGGCGCGGCCCTCTCTTTCTGTCTTTTCGCTTGACTCGCCTACTCATCCGACGCACCGCTGCAGAAAGGAGGTCGAAGCGAGAGATATTTTTCGTGGCCGTACCTGGAGACCGGGGTTGCGCGCTGTGGGGACGACGCTTGACGTGCAGCCGCGATGCAACGCCGTTGTCGGGCAGCACGACTCTGATCGTGCCGCCGCGCGCACGTCGGGCGGTGTAAAGCGGAGCCGGCGGCGGGGTGCACAGCATTAACGGTTTCTTTTTTGAATTCCTACGGTAAGTTTGGGGACTCACAGGCGGTGGGAACAAGTCCGCGTCCTTCGCACTTTTCATAAAGCGCTGCCCGTCGCTCGTGGATCAATTCGAACTCTCGCCGAGCGGTCGACTGTGCGTGGCCGTAAAGTCAGCCGGCCGGGGAGCTCTGTGTCAACTGCGGGCTGCCATTACTACACCATGTTTTTGGCAGCTGGTGCGAACAGCGGCGATTCGGTATATGGCGGAGGGTGCGGCCGGCCTCGGCATGGATAGAGGAGTCGGCCGCAAATAATATACCGCCGACGTCCTTTAGAGTTATTTGCGATCCGCACATCTGACCCCTCTGCGAGAAAATCGGACTCTCAGTTCGATTTTTACGCGTGGAACGTCGTCTAGATGATGCGACTCTTGCGGCTCCTTCGCCTGTCCACCGGCCTGACATTCTGAACTCCGCGCTCCCCATACACCTTCGCGTAAGACTTACAAGCACCTGGCCCTGAAATTAATTTGTGTCGTACTTATATTCCGCGTAGCTTTCTGATAGGCATAAATTCCGCCCACATCTTCACGATGCCACCTCCACGACTACGTGTTGCCATCTGGTGAGTCGCCTGCCGCTGTCTCCAGAGACATCGGGCTGACAGCTTCCAGCGGAGGCGGCATAGGCGGACTCGTTCTCGCCGTTGCCTTATCGCGAGCCCCGGACATCGACGTCGATGTATACGAAGCGGCGCGCGAATTTGCAGATATTGGGGCCGGCGTGGGACTGTGGCCGCGTCCCTGGAAGATCATGAAGGCCCTAGACCTTGCGGAAGACCTGGCTAAAGTCACATCCGTCCCACCAGAAGACGAATTGACGGTCGCTCTGGAATTTCGCAAGGGCGATGAGCCGTGCGGAGGCGTCACGTTTGGGCAGATGGTCATGCCTGGTAGGCCTGCAGTCCCTGGCCGTTGTCTGTCTCTTCTCAGCTCGCTTTTCAGGTGGTCTCATCAGCTTCCACCGACCCGACTTCCAGCGTGTAATTCTCCAGCGCCTCGCAAGATCTTGTCGCCCACACACGTCCAAACGCCTCGCATACTACATGCAGCCAGCGTCCGCCTCGCAGCCGATACAGCTGTTCTTCCAGGACGGGACGACGGCTACCTGCGATCTTCTTGTCGGAGCGGACGGGGTCAGGTCAAAGGTACGGGAAATTATGGTCAAGGAGGTTGCGGACGATCTGCGCGCTCGAGGCGATTTATCGGCTGCCTCTCAAGTACTGCGGAGTGCAAGGCCCGCGTGGAGCGGGATAATGGCCTACCGGACGACCGTCCGCTCCGAAGCGTTGCAGAAGCAGTACCCGACCCATAGACTTCTAAGACAGCCATATGTCGTACGTCTCCCGCTGTTCGCCTTCACCGTCGTGGCTTTGCTAACAGCTACTCTCCTCTCCTGGAAGTATTTTGGCAGAAACACCCAGATGGTGGCATACCCCATCGCACGGGGATCTCTCGTGAACGCCGCCGCCTTTACCGCGCGGTGTGATCTCGAGAACACACAACTGGACGCCCCGTGGGTTGTCGACGCGCCCCGAAGCGAGTTTCAGGAGGCGTTCGCCGATTGGGAGCCGGAAGTGCAAGCGCTGTTTGACGTGCGTGTTGCCTGTTTTGCGTACATCGGCCAAGCCAATTGCCCTGCCATTGCAGGTCTGACAGCGGCACGGGATGCGTCTTTTACGCTAGCCTATGCTGAGGTCTATGTTCCTTTCGGATGCGATGGATCGCTGACTATCCTTCCGTGCAGTGCGTCAAGACGACCAGCCGGTGGGCTATACACACGGTCACCCCCCTAGGCAGCTTCGTGCATCGGCGGGTGATCCTGATTGGTGACGCAGTACGTACTAGTATTTCCATTGCAAGCGCACAACTGACGGGCTGGCCTATCAGGCGAATGCGATGCTGCCCTTCCAAGGCTCAGGCGCCGGGCAGGCTGTCGAGGTGGGTCATTCCCGGACAGCGTGTAGAAAACCTCTAAATTAGTCTTCTTGGTTCCTAGGACGCATACATCCTGTCAGCCTTGCTCACGCACCCGTCGACGACCGTCCGTGACCTCGAGCGCGTCTCCGGAATATTCGACACCATCCGCCGGCCTGCCGCACAGCGCGTCGCGTCACTCTCGCGCGAGTCCGCCCTGCTGTACACGTTTAATTATCCCGGCCTGACGCTCGACCGCGACGACTGTCGAGAGGAGCAGCTGCAGAGGATCCACGAACAGATGGTTAATCGCCAGGCATGGACGTGGGAGACGACTGCAGAGCCTGATCTAGAGAGGGCGATTGCGATGTTAGAAGGCCGTGCGTAGTGGGCGCGCCCGCCATCCGGAAATTTCGTTTGGTACAATGTCCATCACGATATCTTGGTCACGATCTCTTCATGAAGCAGCTTCGCTCTTTTCCCTTAGGCTTGTGCGCTTCAATGAATGCTTATCCCCGGCTTCCGCACTTTAAGGTTCCCGCAGACCACAAATCACCTGCGTGCAACCAATAACTAGCCTGGCCGGCTGTCGAATATTTCGACTGTCGCCGAATATCGTGGCGCTAAGCGAAATCCCAAGGCTGCCCGCCTGAAAGGGAACTCAACGCTGACGTCACCGGACGCCAAAGGGATCTAACTGCGCCGTAGGTCAGATTGAACTTTGCAGAACTCTGGAACCCATCGCACGTGATTCGACTTGGGAAAGCACACTCCTCAAAAGTCGGCTTGCTAAGTATTCAAGTATCCTCGTCGCGAGGTATAAAATTAAAGCAGGCATGGGCGGTATGTCACAAAAATTGCAAAAAGCTAAGTTGGCAGTTTCCAAGGAAGAAAACAACAGGAAGCTAATGTAACAAGACTAGTCGGATACTTGAAACTGTCAACCCCCACACGAGACCGAAAGCGTCTAGATGAGAACCGGGTTAATGTTGGACTTGTAGAGTCCTCTGCTTTGCGTCCGTTCGAGGTCTCGGTATTGCTATCATTTAAGTATTGGTGGGCGTAGAAGCGAACTTCGTCAGAACGGGCGAAGGTTAGTCTGCTACGCTTGATGGTCACGAGTCACTGCTCGCCGTTTCGGTTGAATGAAGTCCAGCAACGTATCTGCTCGTCCAGAATGGTGCCCTCGAGCCTCAAAAGGCGGTCGACTGGATACCGGAAGGACCGGTTCGGGATATTGAAACCGCTGGGGCACATCATGCGAGTGAACTCGTCGGGTGAGAGGCGAGTACCCAGGTGAATGACATTGCCTTGGAAACTGTTCGTGTCAACCTTGGAGGCGTTGATCTCGATGGCGGCGCCTAGGACTACTCGCGCCTCTTGTTCAATGCGCAAAGGTGCACAGTTGTGCACACAAATGTTATGCCTAAAGGTAGTCAAGATTCTCATAACTCCAAGCCGTGTCTGCATAGGCATACAAAAGTGAACAAAAGTGTACTTACTTGCAAGATCATGCACAACAATGAATATTGATGTACTGATAGATTCACTAACAGATGAGTAAATTAGATGCAGACCACCACGAAAATGAGATTCGGCACTGCGAAAACAAGATATCAATTTTTGTCCACCTTCGACCTTCATATACATGATAGCTGCTTCCGCACTCCTTTCCATGTGAGCTCCGCAGATTAAGCTAGGACCGGCGATACCGCTGGTTGCCATACTCTCGGCCGCGAGCAGCGCGCCGGCTGGCCGCTCTGTAAGGATGCGAGTTGCGTTAAACACTATACACTGTTCTCGGCCTGCCCTATATCTGGGTGACTCTGTCGTTGTCACCGTCGCCTATTCATTGTAGCCAGAAAGAAAGAGAACAAACAAAACTTGAGCAGGACGCAGTAACTGGCATTTGACACCCGCAGAGCTGCAGCTACAGAAGCAGCTGTCGCAAAGCGTAGCGAAGCTACTCTTGTAACTAACAACGGCAAGAGAGCTGCTATCTGGCTTTGAATTGCCTTGCTTGAATCACTGCAACAGGCGAAGTGCAGTCGCTCATGAATGAGCGTGGGCGGACTGAGCGAGATTATAGATAGTTCATGGCACTCGTACTGTACGAGGCATAGGATATATATTTAACACATTGCAGGTTTCAGAGAGGACGAGCCAACCACAACTTAAGTACTCACAGGCCGTTCCGACGGGGGAGGTCAACGCCTCTGGGAGACTAGACTGGCTTGCCTTTTCGGATAGGCGATCTCAACCGGGCGCGTAGACGCGTGCAGCGTGCCCTGGCCCGCGATTTGCACCCAACCTCCCGTGTCCTCTCCGACTTTCGTCCCCATCCGTCCTACTATCGTGTATTCCGAGGACTGTTGAACCACATAACATACACTCTTCTTGCTCCTGTCCTAGTCTCGTGCCATGTTCGGGTCGTTTGGGAGCAACAATCAAGCAAGTACCGGTGCCGGCATGTTTGGGAACACGAACCAACATCAGCAACAGCAGCAGCAACCGACAGCAGGTGGGGGACTCTTTGGATCCGTCCCTGCTGCAGGCCAACAAAATACCGCGGGCACAGGTCTCTTTGGTGGCGCGAATCCACAAAATACATCGGGAGGTACAGGCGGTGCGCTATCTGGAAACACGCTCACTCAGCCTTCAAGTGGGCTCTTTGGAGCTACCAATGCATCCCAGCAGCAAGCAGCAGGAGGCTTATTCGGAGGTGCTACACAGCAGCAGCCACAGCAGAATGCGGGTGGAGGACTCTTCGGTAACGCAGGCACGGCGAACGCCACGAACACGACAGGTACTGCTCCTTCAGGCGGTCTGTTTGGCAGCACCGCGACGCAGCCCACAGCAGGCGGGGGGATGTTTGGAAACACGCAAATGAATGCGTCTGGAACGCCGGGTGGTGGCTCATTCGGCAATACCTCGCACACGACGAACACGACAGGTGGAGGCTTATTCGGAAACACCCAGCAGAATACTACAGGAACAGCTGGTGGTAGCCTGTTTGGTAACCCGTCGAGCACGTCGGCGAATACGGGTGGTGGGCTGTTTGGGAGTACTGCGAATAATAGCACCAGCACCACAGGTATGTTCCCTACTGCGCACCCAGTGTGTCCGACTGAGATGTATTTGCAGGAAATCCATCAAATTTCTTTGGAAACACCACTTCGAACAACACCCCTTCGCTCTTCGGTCAAACCCAGCAGCAGAAGCCCGTCGGTTCGCTATTTGGCACACCTACACCCCAGCCTTCCGGAGGCTTACCGTTCGGCCAGTCGTCAACACAACAACCGAATCAGCCTACAACCGGCTCTCTTTTTGGACAACCCACACAGCAGCAGCAGCAGCAGCAACAGTTTCAAGGGTCGCTCTTCGGCAATCTGAACCAACCACCGGCTACAACAACAGGTGGCTTTTTCGGTAACAGCACTCTTGGCGCATCTACACTTGGAATATCTACACTTGGAGCATCGACTCTCGGTGGTACAAACGTCGGTGCTCCATCGCTCGGAGGGAGTCTGCTAGCTTCGCGAACGACCGCCATCCCACTACAACAACAGCAGGATCCGCAGTCCCAATTCATCGCGCTTATCCAGCGTATCGAGGGCGTGAAGCAGGCTTGGGACTCTAGCTCACCACATTGTCGATTCCAGGTACGTCTTGCAAAATACGTGCATATAGTCTGAGTTAAATCACATTTCACAGCATTATTTCTACAACCTCGTCGACCCCGCACAAGTACACTTCTACGGACGCCCATCAAACGCGGTGAACGATGCGCTGTGGCAAAAGGCTGTCCGGGAGAACCCAGATCCAGATTGGTACGCTGTCTCACGACGCGTCCGACGTTATCCCTCGCTGATACCTCACAGCATGGTCCCCGTTATTGCCGTCGGCTTCGACGATCTGCAGCAACGTGTAGATGCACAGACCAGGGCCGCAGCGCAACACCAAGAAAAGCTAAAGGCGCGCCTCTCCACATCTCTTCACTCTGCGCTCGCTGACGCCCACTTAAGGAGCTGAAAACTCGCCTCGAAGCGCTTTCACAGCGGCACCAGGTGACGAACCTCGCTCGGCTGCGGCGCGCACAGGCGCTGCAAGCGCAGCTGACGCACCGTGTGCTCCGCATCACGCAGCATCTGCACCTGCTCGTGCCCGCCCTGCGCTCGTCGTCGATTCGGCCCGAGGAGGAGGCTCTCCGCACCGCGCTCGAAGAGCTCGACGAGGACGTCCGCAGGCCCGGCGGCCTCGGCAAGATGCGCTCGAAGCTGAACGAGCTCTGGGCACTCGTCGACGCAGTGCGCGCTGCGCGCGACCGCGACCGCCAGGAAGGCACTGTCGAGTGGGCGGTCGTGGACGAGGATGGGCTCGCGCGGATCACTCAGGTATGGGACCTTCCCCGCACCAGGCGCTGTTGACAATACTGATTGTCTTTCCTTTTAGGTGTTGGGGGAGGAACAAGCTGGGCTGGCGTATGTGACAAACATCCTTCAGCGCGACCTGAAAGACCTGGGCATCGTACTTGGCGTGCCTGTGAAGGAAGAGGAGCCGAATGCGTTATCAGGCTCAGCGACAGTGTTGCGAGGGAGCCTCATGCGATGATGCATACTTGTGTGTTCTGCAGTGACGTTGCTCATGTACATTGCATATACGTCAAGGTTGTTAGTTGTAAGTATGAAAAGACAAGACAGAAAATAAAGATGACTCTAAACAGCGATCCGCTGGTCCAAGCACTTGTCTGCACTAATAACCAACCAATAGATAAAGGAGCGTAGAAGAAAATGAAGAAGTTGCAGAAAAAGTCAGTCTTCAATGTTGATGTTGATGTCAAGATGCCTAGAAGACATTGAGGTACGTGTTGGAGAACTTCTTTACCACACACACACACACACACACATATATATATATATGTGTGCACAAGGTGACTTATATTAGTCTGGTATAGATAGTCAGAGTATGCTACATGCCGCACTTGGTTCTCACTTCCTCCACAAATGATGCTAAATAATGACAGACAGCAGACACACTCGACAGTCGACATGGTAGTTTTTGTGCTCCTGCTGTACCTCACCAAACACATCACTCTTTGGTCTCTGCTACAGCTGAGCTCTCTCACGGCCTTGGGCGGTGGCAACGTGGGTGGTGAGACCATGAGAGCAAGTCGGTAGGGGAACCTTGTGCCCGCTCCTGTGCCCGCTGCCAGCCTCGCTAGTGCTCGCTCTCTCCCGTCTGCACTATCAGTATCACTGTAAATATCATCAGCTACATTCGCTGTACCGTTCCATTGGGCACTGAATAAATCTTCCATTTTCGGTATCTTATTTGCAAATGCGTGTGAGGATTTCGAAGATAATAGCAGAACAACCAAATGTAACATATCGGGCGGTCATAATTTAGCAGACCTGCCAAGCCTTGCCTGACTGCCGACGGGTTGGAATATATACCAGTCTGTCAACCTTTCTAACACATAGGACAAACAGATCTGCTATTGAAAGGTTGACCCAGACTGACAAGGCTCCTAAGGTCCGGGGAGGCTTCCAAGGTCTCCCAAAGTCTTTCTTTTTTGTCGATGTTACGCGGATTCTACGCAAGGATCTTCCAATAGTGGGCAAAGTCTTACGTACATGTCTACGTTACAGCACATATATGAAATCCTCGTTCTGCATATCCGTCAGGTCGTCGAACGCGCGGTTGTTGAGCACAACTGGGTCGGCGCCCTCGGCTTGCTCTTTCTCCTCGTTGGCCTTCTGCAACTGTGCAGACCGTTCTGTAGTCTCCAGAGATGTATCAATGATATCCGCGGCTTTGCCCATGCGCTTGCGCATCGCAGCATGCCGCTTGTTGAGGAAGGCCAAGTAGGCGGCGGTGAAGCTGCCAAGTTCATACCTTGTCAGCACTGCAGAGTATTATAATGTGTTACGAGCAGACGTACAGAATGAGAATCGCCAGCGCGATCCAACAGACGAGACTGTAAGCAAAGCGCATACGGTTAGTGACACACTCAAATTCATCAGGCCCTGCACTTACTCAGCGATCAGGCCACGATGATAGTAAGGGGCCTCTTCTGTCGTATACAGCAACGGACCTACAATCTGTGGGATTTTTATTAGCGAAGAAACTGTTAAGGTGCAGCGCTGAAAGCTCACATTACCGACGCATTGAGCGACAAAGACAACGCCTATAGGATAGTCAGCATGCAGTCTCGCCGAGACAGCGCACCGCGTACCTGTTGTGCAAAGCTTCTTGGTGTGTCCCGCAGTGTTCTGGCTGCTCCAGGTGTACAGCATAGGTTGGATCGTGCTAAAGAACGAAAGCTAACCCGAGATGCTGACTTCAACCGACCCTCCTACCGTCTCATATCTGCAAGCACTCACAACATAGTAGCACCCCAGCAGCTTGTTCTTAAGTTCCGCGCCTCGTCCGAGAACGAGCAATGCCGAGGAACCTGCTATTGGCGGCAGGCACAGAAAGAACACGACCGGCCACTTGAGCTTGATCTTCGTGGAGATATAGGCAGATAGGACGGTGAGGATGACTTGCAGGGCGTTGAAGGGGATGTTGAATAATAGCGTTTGGAACTGCACAACGGGTCAGCACGCTGGGAAGGAGCAAATGGTGCAGAGCCGACCTGATTGAAGCCAAAGCCGCTGATTATCAAGGGGCCGAAGTTTGAGATACCACCGCTCGGGAGCCTAGAGAAAACATCAGCACTCGTACTCGCGAAGTTGCAAAGGAAAAAGCAGACGCACGCGCATAAGAAGAGCAGAGCGAACCAGAGGTAAGTCTTAATATCGAGTGCCAGGTCCCAGACTTGCTCCCACTTCCAAACCTTTGTCTCTGTCCCCTGCGAAACAGCTTCAGATGCGGATAAATAATACACCAAATAGTGAGGCCCACCATGTTATTCGCACGAAGACGCTCGACGGCGATGACCTTCTCTTCGTGACTAAGGAACCGCGCTTTGACTGGAGAGTCGGGCAGGATCAACCTACACGATAGCCGTCAGCGTTTTATCACATAGATAGCACAAGCCAAACGCACCATACGAGTGGTGAAAGCACTACGGTCAGCAGACCGATGAAAAGGAAGATCGACTGAAGAGCGAACGTTAATATGAACCACCCCTACACGTAGAAGTATATACCTGGAATGGAAAGAGTTTGCCATTGATGTGCCCGATGCCCCACGATAGGAGCGACCCAACCTGAGAGATATTAAATTGACATAAAGCATAGCGAAGGATAGCGAACCGCGTACCATTCCTGTCGCGCCGTTGGCTGCGAACCATATGGACAGACGTAAGGTCTGCTCACGTCGCCTCCACCACTGCAACAAATCATGAGATAAGATTGGAGAAAAGCATGGCAACAAAGATATACCATCTGAGTAATCGTGATGAAGCACGGCGCTGAGAAGATATAAACGACGGACCAAGCTGCAGATAACTGACTTTCTTACCAACCGTCGCCTCAAAAATACCTAGGAAGAAACGAGTTGCCAGGAGGCTACTGAAGTCGTTCGCAGCCGCAGTGCAGGACACCACGACACCCCACATGAGCACGTTGAAGAAGACTGCGGCAGGTAAGTGGATGTTGTCCGAGTTTTAAATGCACTGCGAACTTACGCCACTTCGCCACTGGTAGCTTCACGAGGAAATACGATGAGACTGGCTGCCATATCAACTGCGCCACGTAGACGATACTACCCAGCCAGCTGTACTGCTGGCCAACGAGATCTGGTAGCACACTGAGCGAAGGTACAGCAGAGGTGGCGAGAGGATACTTACGGGCATCCTCGACAATGCCAAACACCGACGCATACGACAGCGACGATCTGGTGAGGAACATCAGAACGATACACGATGCGCAAACGAAACAAACGCACTTGTCCAGCTGCTGCAGAAAATAGACCATGAAGATAATAGGCATCAACCAGAGGTCAATCTTACGCAGGACCGCGCGATCCTCCTCGGGGGTGATATGAATCGGTTTCGCCTCTGGCCCAAGGATCTCGAGTGCCGCATCCTTATCCGCGCACGAACCCGAACCGGACGCCTGCAGCTCAGGCGCGACGTGCTCAGCGTGCTGGAAGTCGACCTTCTTCTCCACATCCTCGGTGGACGCGCCTGGTGAACCTGGCGGCGACATGACTGACTTGGGCGAGAAGCGACACCGTGGGTCATCAGGCGGCAGTGTGCTTATAACACTGTTGTCATCCCGCCCAGCGTCCAAGGCCATCCAACGCCCACTTGTGGCGCGGGCCGTCGTGGAGAACCCGCAGGGCAAGTGACCTCTGGTTCCTGATGAGCCTAGGAGAAGTAAAACTTGAATATTCTAGCGGAGGCTAGCCCATAAGAAGCTCCCGCCGTGGGTCTGCGAAGTGGTTCCCGTCACTCGGAGGTGGTCATGAGGCCTTGACGGTGGGAAAGCAGGCGATGGCTCAGGCAGATGTGAGTCGCCGATGAGGTCTTGATGCAAAGGTTCAAAACACCCACATCACATCTTACGTTCTGGCATCACGCAATTTCAATGGCAGATTATGCAGAGCACCAGGCTTCCGATGCCAGGTGTAGGGCGCCATTACGCATTGCGAGGTTCGACAGGTACCGGCGCGAATCGGTGCTGTGGGAGGGACTTAGGGTTGAATAGAACGTTGATGCGATGTGCCAATGCCGTCTTGTGACGCACCGAGGAACAACAAGCCTTGCCAACATCGTCGGTGAGACGCCAAGCCAAGCATCAACATCTCAACCACAAAAGCCTCCGTGAGTCTTCCCAGGTCTTTACCGGGCCGGGCATCAAATGATCTACTCCCGCATTCTCTGCAACGACTGGCACCATCTATGTCCCAAATCTCGGAACTCTGAGACACGGCTTCGTCTCAAGATGAGATAGAAGTGAGATAGCGTTTGTGTTCTGCGCAGCTGAGCGACGATGACGACGGTATACTCGCGTGACGGGCCGTACGTCCCGACGGGGCGCGCCCACAGATAAGTTATAACTCGCCTGGACGCGCAGGGCGTGCCTGGGAAAGCCTCTGTCCACCGCTCCTGCAGCATGTCGACGAACGATAAACCGCTTGGTGGACGCGTGGCCATCGTCGGCACCGGCAGCCGCGCCGCGATGTTCGTGCGCGGGATCGTAGCGCGGCCGCACAGTCGTGTCGTCGCGCTCTGCGAGCCCAACGCCGTACGCGCAGAGTACTATAACAAGCTCCTCGCGGGGCTCGGCGCGCCGCACGTGCCGGTGTATCAGCCTGAGGCCTTCAAGGAGATGCTCGAGAAGGAGCAGGTCGAGACGGTGGTGATCACTTGTGTGGACGCGCTGCACGACCTGTACATTGTTCCTGCATTGGAAGCTGGAGGTGAGCCAGTTAATTGATGTCCTTGAGTTTTCTTCCTCACGTAGATGCGTTTAGTGCGAGTGTTGACCGAGAAGCCTATGACCACGGATGTCGATAAATGCCGTCGCATACTGGACACTGTCAAGCGTACAGGAAATCATATCACTGTGACATTTAACTATCGGTGAGTAACATGACTGGTATGCGGGGACTGCCTACTGACAGGGTGACGATACGCAGGTACAATCCAGTACACGAACTGGTCAAGCGCACAATAGCAGCTGGAAAGATAGGAAACGGTGAGCTCGAACAGTACAGTCAATCCCTGAAATTATGCTTACGCTCGTTGTCCTAGTTTTGTCTGTCCACTTTGAATGGCTCCTAGACACCGTCCATGGCGCAGGTGCGCACCCCCATTCCCTCTCTTTGCACGACCTAACGTTCCCGTGCCAGACTACTTCCGCAGGTGGCACCGCCAAAAGACGAACTCGGGTGGCCTCATGGTGCACAAGTCGGGGCATCATTTCGATCTCGTCAACTGGTGGCTCGACGCGACGCCGGAGACGGTCGCGGGCTTGGGCCGCCTCGCGTTTTACGGCGAGGAGAACGGCCGGCGGCACGGCTGGGGGCGCAAGTACGAGCGTGCCCGCGGCGCAGCAGAGGCGAAGGATGACCCGTTCGCGATACACCTCGAGGGTGATGAGACGCTGAAGAGTATTTATGCGGACGCAGAGAAGGAAGATGGGTATCATCGGGATCAGAACGTGAGTGATCATGAGTCGAGATGGAGAGCGGAATTTTTATCTGAGGATTAGGTCTTTGCACCTGGTATTGGCATCGAAGATGACATGGCATTGCTTGTGCGGTACAACACGGGGGTGACGATGACATACCACCTTACGGCCTACTCGCCATGGGAGGTGAGAAACGCGCGGCCATCACCAGCTCAAGGATACATACTCACCTCGTTGGCCAGGGCTACCACGTCATGTTCAACGGCGACCAAGGCCGCCTCGAGCTCGAGGTCGTCGAGTCACAGTTCCGAGAGGTCTCGGACCCGCAGCTCACGGGCGGACAGATCCACGGCAACGCGCCGCCGCCGAACCCGGGCGAGGCGACCGTGAAGCTGCACCGGCTCTGGCAGCAACCCGAGCTGCTGCCCATCAAGATGGAGCACGGCTCGCACGGCGGCGGCGACACGCGCATGCTCAGCGTGCTTTTCGGCCCGCTGCCCGGCGAGCAGGTCGACACGGGCGACGCGTCGAAGCAGGGTGCGAACGAGCGCGACGGCGCGATGGCGCTCGCGGTCGGACTTATGGCAAACGAGAGCTTCAGAACGGGGCAGTTCCATCACATGAAGGACCTCGGTTTCCAATTCTAAAATACATAACAATATAAGTTATTCGTGTCGGCACACAGGAGAACCCTGAAAGCGAGGGAATGGTAGTACAATGTACAACGAGAGCAGGCCGGGGCGACCAAGAATATTCTAGGAAAGATTATTGACACGTGTAGCAGGACGGAAGATAAGCATACAGATAAGAGCACCAAGAAAGGTAAAAGGATGTCTACGACGTGGGCGAGCACGGAGTGGGGGATGAGAGGGGCATGTAGCTGGTCTATCAAAAAGAGAGCCCTGCGATATCGAAACCAATTTCTCTCCAATAGAGGGTTACTGCGGGTCGTACGATCCGAATGTACAGCGCGAGATGTTCACGTCCGGTTGCAAGGAATGTATCAGGCAGCCACGACATCTGGCTGATATGTTCCCCGCTACGGGCAGCAGTGACGACGAGCTGGTTGATGTCCCGGATATCGACGTACTGCTTCTGCTGCATATCCGAGCGGGTCGAAGCACGATGATCCGACCAACCTTGGAGCTTCAGAAGGAGCAGTACGAGAAGAGGTAGGACGGGGAGGGTCTCCTTCCAGACGATCCGGTCGCTGGGAAGCAGTGGGATATTCATGATGCCAGGGATAAGGATATCGACTTTGCAGGAGCGTCTGGAGTATAAGAAATTGGGTTCAAGTCTGTAATAGAGAATCTTGTAAGTCTCGCCCGGCTTTCTGGAGGGTTGAAGATAGAAGTCGCGAGAACGAGAGACGATTGCCTTGAGCTGCTCTGTGGTATGTATAGTCGTCATGACGATGATATCAACATCCTGTGGGAGAGTCAGTGTTTAAACGGCACACACGACGAGCCGGGCTCACGTTAGGTGTCCTGCCATTGCCATATAGCATGCATCCCGCGCTGCCGAAGAGGCAGCACGTCAAACCATTGGTAGTGAGGGCTGCGATAGCTTTGTACGCGGCTGTACGAATTTCATCGAGTGTAGGAGCCTGAGACATGGTATCCGAGGGGCTAATAAGCAGCAGGGGCCTACAGGGAGGTTGTTAGAGGAGGTGCAGCGCAAGTACCATTTTCAATGGCAGATTCCCAGTTCATAATGATGTGTTCCTGTATGACAAGTCCATCAGCGGAGTTTAGACATGCATCTCTTCTGGACAACTGGCAAGAGTCTGGACCGATGGAAGCTTAATGGGCGTTAATTTAATGCACGCATCCGCGCGTTCGCAACCAGCGCATATCCAGCTCACAACTTTTGGACTATCCGCTCATTTATCCACTCGATATCTGTCATTTAAAAAGCTATTACTCCCCAAAGCCCTAGAACTTGTGAATGGAAGGGTCGAAGATTGATTCTCCTACTCTCTCGGATGGTTCATTCATCATTATTGACGGCGAACGGTCGCCGGCGATTGCAGTGAGTTATTCGCTCTATACACCTCCGCTTCGTCTCAATCCGTATCTCTGGATAGCCAGCACCACTTCCGCCACGCAAAGAACAGCTATTTGCTCACAACTTATCGGGCGCCGCGACGGGAGGCAAGCTGTCTCTTCACGGCCGCCACTTCGTAGACGCTTTCGGCAGAGTATGCAGCTTGCGTGGAGTAAACCTGGCAGGAAACTGCAAGACGTGCGTCTCTGATGGCCTATCTTTTATCTGGCGCTGACGTGGCTGAAAGGCCAGCGAACGATGACCACGAGGCTTTTCCTGCGAACCACGAATCTGTCACCTTCGTGAACCGACCGTTCCCACTAGAGCAAGCACACGAGCATTTGTCTCGCCTCCGCAGATGGGGATTTACATTTGGTGCGTGCTCTATACCGTGCTGCGCGGCGCGTCTCATCGCCCCGCGCTCTAGTTCGTTTTCTTGTCACATGGGAGGCAATAGAACATGAAGGGCCGTGAGTACCCCTCGCCGTCTATGTAGCACCCACTTCTCACAGCCATCCAGAGGCAAATACGACAAAGAATACCTCGCGTATGTCCGCGCCCTCTTGTCGCTTCTTCCACAGTACGGCATAGTCGCCTTCGTCTCGATGCACCAAGACGTCTGGTCGCGACACTCTGGAGGTTCAGGCGCGCCGGCGTGGACGCTCACCGCCACAGGCTTCGACCTCGACGCGCTCGAAGAGACTGGCGCGGCGTGGCTGAAGGGCGTGAAGGGCGGAGGACACGTCGAGAAAGAAAGAGGCCTCTGGCCATGTGGATATCAGAAGCTCGCCGCGGCGACAATGGCGTATGTGCCTCCGTTTACTCCTTACTGAGAGCGCTGAACTGAACATAATGAACCATAGGACATGTTTCTGGGCTGGAGACGCGTTTGCGCCGAAGCTGCGCGTGAAGGATGCTCACGGTGCAGAAGTCTCCATCCAGCAGTTCTTGCAGGCCTCGTTTCTGGGCTCTTGGGAAATGCTTGCCAAGGCCGTTGGAGACCTTGATGGTGTAATCGGCTTTGAGGTTAGTGATACGAAAACGTCACTTATTCTTGTAACGAATGTCTTTTCGGCAGATCATGAACGAACCACATAGAGGATACGTAGAGCTGCAATCAATGCACGGCTTCGACTACAACACCGATCTCCATCTTGGACCCGTCCGTACGTGCCGCTATCTGTGTTTTCCCTGACCTCTTCTGACGCTTCTGCAGCGACCCCGCTGCAGTCTTTCACTCTGGGTGCCGGTCACCCCACGGAGGTCGGCGTCTGGACGCGTTCGTTCCCCATGCCCACGCGCCGCACTTCGCAGGCCGTCCTGAACGAAGCAGGCCGGAAGGTTTGGCGCGACGATGGCCCGACTGGCGGGCAATGCATATGGGAGATGCACGGCGTCTGGGGCTGGGACCGCAATAAGAAAGAGGGCATCGTCCTCCGGGAGAACTACTTCAAGAAGCACCCGACGACGAACCAAAAGGTATGGAACACTGTGCGGCCCTACTCCAAGTTGAATCCTCATCGCCTGTCATAGATTGACTGGTACACGGACTTCTACTTCCCCTTCCTTGAGAAGTGGGTACACCTTGTTCACTCAACGTCCAATTCCGACAAGATGATCTTTGCTGAAGCGATCCCCAATGAGGTACGCTGTCCGCTGGCCGCCGTTCTCATGCGTCGCTTAGACCGGAACAGTTTTGTCCAGCTTCGTGGACACCGGAGCATCGGCCGAGGAACATGGTGTACGCACCGCACTGGTACGACCTGAACGCGCTGTTCACCAAAGGATTCGGCGACTTTTCTGTCAACGTACAAGGGTTGTCTCGAGTACGTCCCACACGAACATCGATTACTTGCTCGGACTGATACATGTTTAGGGCGTATTTCCGCTCAAGACCTTCTATTGGGGCCAGCAGGGAGCGCGGGAGAACTATTCGCTTCAGATACGGAATATCACTGAAGAAGCCTACCGCTCGCTGGGTGAGAAGCCGGTGGTCATCGGAGAATGCGGTGTGCCTATGGACATGAAGTACGTACACCTGGCATAAAAAATAGTTGGGGTACTGACCACGTTTGCAGTGGTGGGGAAGCGTTCAAGTCAGAGGACTTCACTTGGCAGCTGCGGATGTTCGACGCGATGATGTGTGCCTTGGAACGTGCGATGGTGGGATTCACGTACGTCTACCACATGTTCTCTTGTTCTCTAGTTTGCTCAGTTGTTCTCAGACTGTGGAATTACAACCCGAACAACGATGACCGGAAGGGTGACGATTGGAATGGCGAGAACTTTGCATGGTTCAGCCAACGGCGCGCGCTCCCATCTTCCCTTCTCGACTGTGACCAGAGCTCGCCGACCCTCGACAATGGTGCGCGGATCCTGCGCAGCGTCGTCCGCCCGTACCCGGCCAAGACTGCCGGCATACCTCTGCGGTTCGTATACGAGGTCAACACGGGCGAATTCACCTTCGAGTGGGCCGTCCCTGGGCCGTCCAACGCGCCAGCCGAGCAGCGCGCGGACCGCCCGTCGGTGCACCGCCCGCCTCTCGCGGGCCATCCGCCGCTGACGTCGCACGTGACGGAGATCTTCGTGCCGTCGTTCCTCGCACATGGCGGCGCGGTCGTCGTGCAGGGCCTCGCGGCGGGCGGGAGTTACGAGTACGACGAGGCGCGCCAGACGCTGTACGTCCGCGCGCCGGCCGACGCTGCGCCCGGCACCGTGCACCGCATTCGTGTCGCGCTCGCACCGCGCCTCAAGGCCGTGTTCCTCGTCAACGACTTCTGGAGCGACTGGGGGAGCACGGTCGCTGCCGTCGCTGCCGTCGTGCTCGCCCTGTGGGCGTGGCTACTGATGCGGACCTCACAAAGCTTGTAGGACAGGTGTCGGGTTTGATCTTGCTGGATTTGTGTAGACGGTCTGGGTAATGGAAGCTGATTCATTCTATTTGGAATTTGGGCGATGAGCTGCATGGGCCTTGTTGCTGATAATGACTAAGAACTCAACGTTTCAACGCTCACGCGGAGAGTAGGTTCTGTGGCGCTTTTGAGCTGTACATTTTGCGGTGCCCCCAGTCACGTGGGAATTTAGTGGCGTTCCGTGTGCTACGCTCACTCTTTGCTCTTGCCCAGCGCGAGCTGCAACGAGTCCAAATTCTCAAAAGTTGAGCGACGGACAGCGCTGCATAATGGTCGTCGGGTATGGTGCGTGTTCCCTTGCAATCGTCGGCGGCGAGTTCAAGTCAGCTAACCCACCCAACCCAGTCGTCGTCATCTCTGACGTGTGAAGAGTGTCACGTTTTGTTCTTTCTGCACGAACGAAGGAGCGCTCCCCCGGGTTAGCTGGTCGCATGAGATAGCTAATGTGAGCTGTGAAACTCTTGAATGTCAGTTTTGCTCACCGTCCCTGAACTAGTGGTGAGCCACGTCCCGCCGCTCAGGATATGAGCTGCTGATGAAAATAATAGCACTCATGTCCTGGTTAATGTCAATCAGCGCATCTCTAGCGATATGGTGGCCAGTATTGTGCGGGTCCCAGCTCATCTACCACTCGGTAGAGACACCGCAATGAGGCGCGGGCGGAGACTCGGACATTCGTCGTCTCGTCTACCATCGATTCTCACAAGGCCTCACGAGTCAGTTCTTGCGGTCTATGGCCTTGTCGCTGAGCTGCCGAGCTCGGATATATAACGGAAATGCAGCTGTGAGTAATAATGTACGTGGATTCATGTATAGCATCTGCCTGTTTGGCTCAAACTTTTCCGCTCCCCCTAACCTCGCATATTATTAGAGTTATACAGAGCCGAAGATGAGATAGATCCCGTCCAGAAGCTTTTGCGGTCTCATTGCCGAGCTCAACTCTGTCCCGCGTTGCATATGATGTGGCGCCCGATTCTCTTGCACTTTCCTGGCACGGTGTAGTGATACTCCCCTGCTTCTCATGATACCTCCTCTGGAAGAGTTATCCAGAAACAGGCTTGAACAAGCCATAGCATAGCAGAGACGTGACCACATATGCAGGTACGCTACACAGTTACACCAAAATAGGTGAAAATGACAACCACTTCGTACTCCAGACGAGGTTAGTCGAACGTCGCATGCGGGCTGACAAAAACTTGTGTGGCATTTAAGCGACTTCTGGGCATTCATCAAAGCCATCTCATTTATTTTCCCCGGTGCCTCGACATGATCCATAGTAACGTTTGGCAACCCTCGCGAGATGGCACATCCAATAGCAATCTGCCGTGCATCCTGAAGGGATCACCGAGAAGCGAACAAGGTACCCTCTGTCCTATAAGCTCCTTTCATGAAAGTATAACTGACAGTAGATAAGGCACTAACGCAAGCTACTACTACGCTATTATATAATCTAACGTTCCGCAAATGGTAACTGCTGCTTCAACGCTCGCCACACGTTCATTTCGCTACTCCGACAAATGGAGCCACGTTGTCGAGCAAGACATTGTCGCTGTCGCGTGAAATATGTGCTGTATGTACAGCTTACCACCTCGCAATGTCATTCAGGACTTGCTTCAACGTCCTCGTATCATGCCAGACGGCGGTTGTGGCTAACATAAATGATGATATCTTACCTGAATGTTTCAGAGGTCCCCTTGCGCCTCAGAAAACGAACGTGCGGGACTTCTTCCTAGCCTTTCCACTTCACTAATCAAATATCATATGTCTGAGCACGGGGCGTGGTCCCGCGCGTATCGCCAGCGGCCGCAGTTCCCCAGAACTCATTCCATGACACCTGTGTAATTGCGCACACAGCATGTTTAGGTGGCTCGCCGGGACAGTTCTATTGTTCTGGAGGTCTAACACTCTGCCGTACCCACCATCGTCAAAGCTCCTCCGACTCAACTGGGACCGTTTCGCCATGCCGTGCTCACTAGCGTTCCCGCAGGTACGCCCAGGACCTCACAGCAATGCCATAAGAAGCTCTAGTGCGTGCTTTAGCTATCGCTTTGTGAGTTGTTTAACTGACATGTGCCAATTTTGCTCAGGAGTCCGCGAACTAGAAGTGGAGGTGCCACAGGGCGGTATGTTGCACACGGGAGCCATACTCCTTCAGCACGGTGGTGTCCCCGTTCCTAACAGAGCAGACTGGGCGAACGCTTTTGGATCTTGGAGGATGGCCTACGTCTATAAAATGGGGCAGACATCCTTCAACGTTTTCCAGCAGCACAATCGTGTTACAGCTTCTTCTCTCTATTTCGCTATCCACTACAGTACGCCCTTCGTCTTACTTCTTTGTTGCACCGCACCACTGACTAGTTGCTCCCTGTCCTTTAGATGAAGTTCACCGCGCTCTTCGCTACCCTCGCCCTCGCCGCTGGCTTGGTCAATGCTCAGATCAAGGACGATTGCTGTGTCTCTATCAAGGCCCCGCTCATTGGGACTGTGAACCTCGTCACGTGCGCCACAGGCAACTGCTCGGGGATAGTTACGCAGTCGATCACTATCCCCGTTGTGGGTTCCGTCACCGTTTCTGCTGGGGTACTACTTTCTCTCTCGACGCCGCACTGTTAAATTGCTGATCTATTCCGTTTTCAGAAGTGTACCTAGTGACGAAGCAGCCTAAGCTTGAGCAGAAATCTAAGGATCAGCTCTTCTGATACATGGCTTCGATGGGGGATGGAGATTGTACGAGTATATGTGAATAAGTACTAAGAAATGTATACCATTTAGCGGTGATATTGTACGGTTTTTCAGTACGATCGGCGTGTCTGAGCTCCTTGTATCCGTAAGGCAGAAGGCTGCTGTCTGAGGGGAGGATTCTCCTGGCCGCTATTCGGGCCTAACTAATGCTGAATGTGCCAAAAAGTTGCCTCCTTGTATAGCACCTACCGCAAGACAAAACCCCAAGATGCGTCTTCCATGCGCGGTGCCGAGCTCGTATCACCTGCGCAGCAGCCGGAATTGACTCCTGTATGATGTGGCGGATGTGTGTAAACCTCCCGACCATGCTCGTGATAATGTACCCTGTATCAGACGAGCGAAAGCAAGTGTCGTGGATGCTGTACATTGAAGGGATATTATGCCGTCGGTTTCCTTCTCTGGCATTAAACCACTCGCCGGGCTTAAGCAGATCCATACTCACAGTCTCCGATTTTCGACTTTTGATGCTTCAAGAGGGGTGGGCCGACATTGATGTTGGGCTTTTGCCGCAGATCTTATCATCGTTCCTCTTCCTCTTTAAATGTATTGATTGGTACGTGATGTAGCGAAGTTACTGATTATATGTTCCCCGTCCAAACCAAGAACCTAAAACTGTTGCTGAACTGGGTGCTGCACAGCAGCACAGGACAGCGAGAAGGGAGCAGGGGTTGTTGTTGTTGTTGTTGTTGTTGTTGCGGGAACCAAGAACATTATGTAAACACGGGGAACACTCTTCGCATAGGCTCCTCTTGTTCTCTCGGCCCGCCACTACATGGGCTATGTACAGCTGAGCAAAAGGTACGAGAAAAGGCGAACAAAGCGGGAAAATACATGAATGGGTGGTGCCCATATGCAAAAGGGGTCAGCGCTGTGTTTTCACAACAGGCGGGAGGTTTCCAGGTGATGCGGACTGGTGGCGGAGGCTTTGTAGCGCGGTTGCTGGAGCGTCGGGTGTCTGGTGCGAATGGTTGCGCGAGGGCGCGTAGGGCGCATCAATGCTTTACTTATTGCCTTCGGTTTCTATCTCCTGCATAGCTCACACTGACTTGTGTGTTCTAGTGCCCTCGCGAGCTCTTCTCGGGTACAAACTATTCTCGCCCTCTGCTGTAGGCATCCTGCGCTCACTTAGCCACCTTGCGTTCTTTGTCGATACACCATCTGCTATTAGCAGACTCTCTCCAGTATTATTCGCGCAGAGCATGAGGCTGCATGGGAATATGCAGGGCGTGTGTGATCGTTTCGAGGAAACGGCTGCAGAGGGCCGACACAGGACGAAAAGTCATGCATCCGACAACTTGAATAGCGCTATGCTACCATATTAAGTAGGCTAGCAGTGCGCCTGCTTATCTAATCTGACTCATTCGACCGTGATTGGTCAATTATCCGGCTTGACTTCTGACTTTGACCGAACACTTCTCACAGTTGAGCAGTCCCGAGATCTTGAGTGGCTTCTCTGACAGATGCTGTCCAAAGTAAGTAAACTTGCGAATGGCGCTATCGCTTATGTCAATCTCGGAGAGTTTGAATGGTGTCGTCCCGCCCCCCAGTACGCCAGCAAGAGTCAAACGAGAGACATCGAGCAAACACGCTATTCCTACAGCGCAGTGTGACAGCGACGCCCAAGTCCCAGCCTCCACATGCGACCATGTGCGACACGTCTATCATCGGGCCGAGATGCTTCAAGCTTTTTATGCATCCCAACTAGAGTAGTCTCGCCATGTTTTATCTACTGGCATTCTTACGGGTACGCTTACCTTACAGGAAAGCCCCAAAAGGCTTTGGTGTGCGCTCCAGCTACGGCTTCATGGGTTGCCCAGACTCCAGGGGTGACAGATGCCAGTTCTGCCAATCAAGTGTTGTGTGCTAGAGGTGAAGCTGCTGCGAGGACGGAATGCTGCGCACAGAAGGCCTGCCCGGTGCCCATTCAGTACGCAACTTGAATGCACGGCATCGTACCTCTCAGTCTTTCCCAACAGAGCCCGCAAGACGCGCGTTCTTGGATCCTGGGAGGATGGGCTACGCATATAAAGGCTGGGTAGCTGGCTCTCAATGTACCGCAGCAGCACACTCGCGGCGCAATTTCCTCCCTTACTTCGCTATCCGCTACAATACGCTCTGTATCCGACTTCTTCTTGAAAGGCACCACTGACTGGTTGCTCTCTGCTCTTTAGATGCAGCTCTCCGCGCTCATCGCTACCCTCGCCCTAGCCATTGGCATGGCTAACGCTCAGCACAGTCATGCATTTTGGCTGCCTGTGTCGATATTCAAACATTATCCGGTCATAGCGAGCCCTTTGTGGGACGGGGCCCACCCGCCGTACTGTCCAAGCGCAGCCTACGAGTTCACCGGCATTAAACCCGTGGCTATTGATAGATGGCCTGTCCCGATCACAGGTCGTAAAGCTGCCGACAAGTAGGGTTTAGACGTCCACCTCTTGAGCCTTCGCTCGAGGACCAGCTACCTTGATGCGCGACTCTGACGGCGCACCTCGAGGACGAATATTGTACGAGTTGTGATATGGCGCTTGAGAGAAAGCGTACCCCGTGATCGAATGATACGGTTTCCGAGCTCGTGATAAACGCTCTGTGAATGTGATCCGTGGAGAGGCAAGTGCCGGCGTACGCGTCACATCCGCCCTTGCTGTGGACGATGGTCGTCCGGGGGCAAAATACGACACAGAGTACCTTGCGTATGTATCCGCGCCCTCTTGTCGCTTCTTCCACAGTACGGCATCGCCGCCTTCGCCTCGATACACCAAGATGTCTGGTCGCGGTACTCTGGAGGCTTAGGCGCGTCGGCGTGGACGCTCACTGCCACAGGCTTCGACCTCGACGCGCTCGGAAAGACTGGCGCGGCGTGGCTGGAGGGCAGGAAGAGCGGAGGACATGTTGAGAGGAAAGAGGCATCTGGCCTTGCGAATACCAAAAGCTCGCCGCGGCGACAATGGCGTATGTGCTTCCGTTTTCTCCTTACTTGGAACGCTGAGCTGATCATAATGAATCATAGGACGTGTTTCTAGGCCGGATACGCGTTTGCGCCGAAGCTGCGGGCGACGAATGCCCACGGTACAGAGGTTTCAGTCCAACAGCTCTTGCAGGCCTCGTTCCCGGGCTCTTGGAAAATGCTTGCCAAGGCCGTTGGAGACTTTGATGGTGTAATGGGCTTTGAGGTTAGTAGCATCGTTCACTCCCGTAACAAATGGCCTTTCGATAGACCGTGAACGAACCACAGACCGCAACAAGAACGAGGGCATCGTCCCCCGGAAGGATTACTTCAAGAAGCACCCGACGACGAACGAGAAGGTATGGCACGCTGGCTGCGCTAAGTCAAATACTCATCAGCCATTTCGAATGAGGTACGCTGCTCGCTGTCCGCTGTTGTCGTACTTCGCTTGAATAGGAACAGTTTTGCCCAGCTTCGCGAAAATCGGAGCATCGACCGAGAAACGTGGTATATGCACCGCGCTGGTACGATCCGAACGCGCTGTTCACCAAGGGATTCGGCGATTTTATCGTGAATATACAAGGGTTGTCTCGGATACGTCCCATACGAGTATCGATTACTTGCTCGGACTGATGTCTGTTCAGGGCGTGTTTCCGCTCAAGACTTTCTATTGAGGCCAGCAGGGAGCGCGGGATAAGTATGCGCTGCACACACGAAATATCACTGAAGAAGTCTACCGCTCGTTGGGCGAGAAGCTGGTGGTCATCGGAGAATGCGGCGTACCTATGGACATGAAGTACGTACACCCGGGATACGAAATATTCAGAGTACTGATCACGTTTGCAGCGGTGAGGAAGCGTTCAAGTCAGAGGGTTTCACTTGGCAGCTGCGCATGTTCGACGCGATGATGGGATTCACGTATGTCTGCCCCATGTTCTCATGTTCACAAATTTGCTCAATAGTCTTCAGAATCTGGAATTACAACCCGAATAGCGACGATCGGAAGGGTGACGATTGGAACGGCGGGAACTTTACCTGGTTCAGCCAGCGGCGCGCTCTCCCATCCTCCCTTCTCGACTGTGACCGGAGCTCGCCGACCCTCGACAATGGTGCGCGGATCCTGCGCAGCGTCGTGCGCCCGTACCTGGCGAAGACTGCCGGCATACCTCTGCGGTTCGACTACGAGGTCAACACGGGAGAATTCACCTTCAAGTGAGCAGCCCCTACGCCGTCCGACGCTCCAGCCGAGCAGCCTGCGGAGCGCCCGTCGGTGCACCACCTGCCTCTCGCAGCCCTTCCACCGCTGACGTTGCACGTGACAGATATCCATGCCGGCGTTGCTCGCGCACGGCGGCGCGGTCGTCGTGCGAGGCCTCGCGGCGGGCGGGAGTCACAAGTACGACGAGGCGCGCCAAATGCTGTAAGTCTGCGCGCCGGCCGACGCTGCGCCCGGCACCGTGCATCACATCCGCGTCGCGCTCGCGCCGCGCCTCAAAGTCGTATCCCTCGCCAACGACTTCTGGAGCGACTGGGGGAGCGCCCTGTGGGCGTGGCTGCTGATGTGGATCTCGCAAAGCCTGTAGGACAGGTATCGGGTTTAGTCTTGCTGGATTTGTGTAGGCGGTCCGGGTGATGGATGCTGATTCATTCTATTTGGAATTTGGGTGATGATCTGGGCCTTGTTGCTAATAGTGACTAAGAACTCAACGCTCACGCGGGGAGCAGGTTCTGTGGCGCTTTTGAGCTGTACATTTTGCGGCGCCCCCAGTCACGTGGAATATTAGTGGCGTTCGGTGTGCTACGCCCACTCTTTGCTCTTGCCCAGCGCGAGCTGCAACGAATCCAAATTCTCAGAAGTTGAGCGACGGACAGCGCTGCGTAATGGTCGCTGGGCAAGGTGCGTATTCTGTTGCAATCGTCGCTGGCGACTCCAAGTCAGCTAACCCACCCAACCCAGTCGTCGTCATCTCTGACGTGTTATGAGTGTCACGCTTTGTACTTTCTGCACGAACGAAGGGGCGCTCCCCCGGGTTAGCTGGTCGCATGAGATAGCTAATGTGAGCTGTGGAACTCTTAAATGTCATTTTTGCTCACCGTCCCTGAACTAGTGGTGAGCCACGTCCCGCCGCTCATGATATGAGCTGCTGATGAAAACAATAGCACCCATGTCCTGGTAGATGTCAATCAGCGCATCTCTAGCGATATGGTGGCCAGTATTGTGCGGGTCCCAGCTCATCTACCACTCGGTAGAGACACCAGTGCAGTGAGGCGCGGGTGGAGACATTCGTTGTCTCTCGTCTACCATCGATTATCACAAGGCCTGACAGGTTGGTTTACTGCGGTCGATGGCCTTGTCGCTGAGCTGCCAAGCTCGGATATAGAATGGAAGTGCGGCTGTGAGTAATAGTGTACGTGACATACATGTGTGGCATCTGCCTGTATGGCTCAAACTTTTCTGCCCTCTCTAACCTTGGATGCTAGTAGTTATAGGCGGAGCCGAAGATGAGATAGATCCCGTCCAGAAGCTTTTGCGGTCTTATTGCTCGAGCTAGATTCTGTCCCGCGTTGCATATGATGTGGCGCCCGATTCTCTTGCCCTTTTCTGGCACGGCGTAATGATACTCCCCTGTTTCTCATGATATTTCCTCTGGCAGAACTAACCAGGAACAGACTTGGATAAGTCAGAATCTGGCAGAGACGTGACCACATACGCAGGTACGCCACACAGTTGCACCAAAATAGGTGAGAATGATAACCACTTCGTACTCCAGACGAGGTTTATCGAATGTCGCATGCGGGTCAACACAAAACCGTGTCGCGTTTAAGCGATTTCTTGGTAGTCATCAAAGCCATCTCATTCATCTTTCCCGGTGCCTCGATACGATCCATAGGAACGTTTAGCAACCCTCGCGAGATGGTGCATCCAATAGCAATCCGCCGTGCATCCTGAAGGGATCACCGAGAAGCGAACAAGGTACCCCTCTGTCCTATAAGCTTCTTTCATGAAAGTATAACTGACAGTCGATAAGGCACTAACGTGAGCTACTACTACGCCATTATATAATTCAACGTTCCGCATATGGTAACCGCTGCCTCAGGCCTCAACGCTCGCCACACGTTCATTTCGCCACTCCGACAAATGGAGCCACGTTGTCGAGCAAGACACTGGTGCAACCCCGTGAAATATGTGGTGAATGTACAGCTTACCACCTCGCAGTGCCATTCAGGACGTGCTTCAGCGTCCTCAAATCTCGCCGGATGGCGGTTGTGGCTAACATAAATGATGATATCTTACCTGAATGTTTCAGGGGGCACCTCGGGCCTCAGAAAACGAATGTGCAGGTCTTTTTCCCAGCCCCACCCCTTCACTGATCAAATTCCATTTGTTTGAGCGCAGGACGTGATCCCGCGCGCACCGCCAGCGGCCGCAGTTCCCCAGAACTCATTCCATGACACCTGTGTAATTGCGCACACAGCATGTTTAGGTGGCTCGCCGGGACAGTTCCATTGTTCTGGAGGTCTAACACTCTGCCGTACCCACCATCGTCAAAGCTCCTCCGACTCAACTGGAACCGTTTTGCCATGCCGTACTCGCTAGCGTCCTTGTGGGTACGCCCAGGACCTCACAACAATGACATAAGAGGCTCTAGTGCGTGCTTTAGCTATCGCCTTGTGAGTCGTTTAACTGACAGGTGTCAGTTTTACTCAAGGGTCCGCGTACTAGAGGTGGAGGTGCCACAGGGCGGTATGTTGCACACGGGAGCCATACTCGTTCGGTACGGCGGTGTCTATCTTCCTAACAGAGCAGACTGGGTGGACGCTTTTGGATGTTGGAGGACGGTCTACACCTATATAAGGGGGGCAGACATCCTTCAACATACTCCAGCAGCACAATCGTGTTACAGCTTCTTCTTTCTACTTCGCTATCCGCTACAGTGCGCTCCTCATCGTACCTTTTACTGGACACACCACTGACTGTCTGTCCTGTCGTTCAGATGCAGCTTTCCACATTCATCATCAGCCTCGCTCTCGCTGTCGGCATCGCCAACGCTCAGTGCACTCTCTGCGGTGACATCGATTTGTTAGGTTTGGAAAATTTTGCTCTCGGCGCAGCGTGCCCCGCCGGCTGCACCAACGTAATTTCCAACAACCTCCTTGGCGTCGTCACGTTCAGTGTTGGGGTGCGCCATCTCTTTCAACGCCATACCATCAAATTGCTGACATGTTCCGTTCTAGGCGTGCTAAATGGCTACTCAAGAACTGGCGACTCTGATATGCGACTTCGACGGAGGATGTAAATTGTACCGTGTACGGGTATATGTGAACGAGTGTCGCGAATGAATTGCTTTTGGTGGTGTTATTTTAGGGCGTCTCAGTAAGATCGGGGTATTTCAACCCCGGCCCGGTGCTCAAAGCCCCGGACCCAAAAAGCTCGACCCTGGCAGCGGGCTCGAGGTCAGGTTTATGGTGAAGCCAGGCCTGAGCCCGGCCCGGAAGCCTAGGCTCGGGTGCACCGACTCTGTTGCTGTTCCTGGGTCCAGAATAAGGCAAGGGCCACTTGATATGTACATAACGGAGGAAATATCGGTATCCTAGACTCAACGGTGGCCACAGAGTACGCTTGTGCGTCACCACCTGGCGTCCGCTCGGAACCTCGTTACGACTTGACTTGTTTCACGGTTATATGCAGCCTTCTGGAGGCCATAATCCGGTAAGTACATGCAGTAGTAACCTACTATATCCAAATAGACTCACTTTTGACGGCATTATCGTATCTGTGGGCAAGTCCGGGCTTAAGCCCACGGCCTAGGTTGGGCTCACTGGCAGGGCTCGGCTCGACGTCGCCACAAGCCGAGCCCAAGCCGGGCTCACACATCGCTACGCGGCTTTTACCCGAGTGCACTCAGGCCGTCGCAAGTTAACTGCTTGGAAAGAGACCTGATGTGGAGAGAATGCTGCTCGCAGATCCTCACTTCTCAGTTTCGTCTGTGCTAAATTCCAGCCATCGGCGCATCCGAAACAGCATCCCTCCCAAGCGCTGAAAACAACCTCGTTGTCAAGCGCCTGAGACCCCGAGACTTTGATAAGATACAACGCGCAAATGGATTAGATAAGTGCGTTATCTGCTCCGGACGTGCGGTCTTCCGCTTTGGTTCTCTCACTATGGTCGACTCTCTCTTCCCTTGTTTTACCACCAGCTCCTTGCTAACTTCTTCAACTGTGCTGCTATCAGGAGTTTTTGCAACAGCCTTGTGTGTTTCGATGCTGTTCCAGTGAATAAGAGTTGTTTGATTTGACAGTCTGTCTGAGCCCGATGGCCTTGCCGCTTTGCCATAAGTTTCAAAGTTCACACAATGCACTTGCTCTTTGAAGTCATGATAGATTCAAAAGGCAATATTCTTCTTCTCGAGCTGAATGATTACAAGAAATGAACATTGATAGACATGTATTGCTGACACCAGGAAGAGACGGCAAGAGGGTAGCATAGAGTGCGGCTTGCCGTCGGTGGAACGTGCACCGCGCTTCTAGAGGTCCTGGAGTTTGAACGTGACTAGACGCTTGCATCCACCGAGGCTGTTTTCAGCGCTAAGCGATGATGCCCCCCTGCTACTGCCGGCCCCACGTTATCGTTTCCGTTGATCTTCAAGCATGATATGAACCGAACACGGATACGCGTCCTCGGAGGCTGCCATACGGCGTACGTCGCTAGCCGTGGCACGTATCACTCAGCTCACTCTCACCGAAATATTCGCGGCAGGAAACGGCGTGGCCGCTCGCTATGCGTGAGTGTCGCTCTGCGAGTCCGCACATCCGAGTCGCTTGGCGGGCTTTTGGCCCGATTCTGGACTTCTCGTGGAACGTACTCGCATGCAACCTGGTTGCCCTGCTTGCGAACATGCTTGCTAGTGCCTTCGGGACATCAATTGATGCTGCCTCACGGTTAGCGAGCGATATGATGATCGCCGAGAAGTATAAGTGCGGGGCGCTAAAGGCAGGGCGCAGCGGTTAGCTCTCGCTCCCGACACTCTCAGTCTCCTCAGAACTTCATAGCCATGCGCGCGACAAGCTTTGTTATCCTCGCTTCATGTGTCTCCCGAGCTCTCGCAGCCACTTACACCCTCAGCGACAGCTACGTTGGCGCCGCCTTCCTCACAGCGTGGCGGCACCAAGTCATCTCCGACCCCACTCACGGCAGAGTGTAAGTCTCGATAATCGCTGTCCGTGGAGGTGGCACGCTGAATCACTCCGCAGGAACTACGTTGATGAAGCAACTGCCCTCGCCAAGAACTTGACGTTCGCATCGGACGACACCCTCATCCTGAGAGCGGATGACACCACCGTGCTCGATCCAAACGGTCTAGGTCGAGATAGCGTGCGTATTCAAAGCGTGAAGAATTACACAACACATGTTGCCATGTGAATACACATCATATCTGACCCGTGTCTGTACTTCTAATCCGTATAACAGCCTTGATGTCCGCCACATGCCACAGGGCTGTTCGACGTGGCCCGCTTTTCGGGAGACTGATGCAAGTAGCTGGCCTAATGGTGGCAAAATCGATATCGTGAGTTTCCTGTCTGCTCATGATACCGTTACTCGATGGTTCGGTAATTGAAATCTGCCGTAACCTTCTCTCCCATATCCGCCTTGTCGTATAATTCAGTGAGTTTCTCAGAATTACTCGAGACCTCCCTGTCCTAACTTCTGACTTGCTTCGTTTTGTAGGATCGAGGGCGTTAACGATGTGACTCCAAACACGATGACTCTGCACACGGACATGAACTGCTCCATGCCCGCCAGCCGCGCCGAGACCGGCAAGGCGACGGGCCTCAACTGCGATGACAAAACCGACGGCAGCTCTGGTTGCGGTGTACAGTCCCCGACAACGACCAGCTACGGTCCACCCTTGAACGCCATTGGCGGCGGGAGGTACGCCATGGAGCGCACGAACGACTTCGTCAAGGTGTGGTTCTTCCCACGCAACGAAGTCACGCCCTCCGACGTCTCAAGCGGCGCAATACTCATTGACACCGACAACTGGGTGCGTTCTTACCGTGCACTTGTGACGCGTCAAAGGCTGAATGGCTTTGCTAGGGCACGCCGACTGCGTTCTTCCCCAACACCGAATGCGACATCGGCTCGCAATTCGACGCCAATAATATCGTCATCGGCCTGACTTTCTGTAGGTGCTCCCTGCCCTGTTGTGGTGACGCGGCTGCTCATACAGCATTTACAGGTGGCGATTGGGCGGGCAGCCCCTCGGTCTACTCAAATGCGGGCTGTCCGGGGGACTGTGTTGGTGCGTAACTGGTCTTCCGCGATACATGTGAAGGTGCTGAAAGCACAGGACAGACCTCGTTAACAACAATCCTGCCGCATTCGTGGACGCGTACTGGGAAATCGCAGCTGTACGTGTGTATGAGAACGGTGATAGCTGCTAGTGAAACCGGAGCGAGCTCTTTGAAGCCTTGTCTCAGCGCTGAATAACACTAACCTGGAATAGTATCTGCATCAGCAGTGGGCGTGCCTTTGGTCGCGATCAACTATCGTTAGTCCCGGCCTCCGCCAGTGAGGTAATTGCACTTGCCGTTGCAAGACGATGGTACATCTACTCAACGAGCAGTGGAAACGCTGCAGCAGGCGACGTCCGAGTCCGCGTGAACGTACCCAAAGACGTCGCAAACTTGAAGGCTGCAACGTAGTGAAAAGACAAGCGAAGATTGCGGAGTGGCAGAAGAGGAAGATTTGAGGAGCAAGCAGGGTGACTTAGCATGGGAGCACAAGGGCAATCCGGCAAGATGCAACTATCAGTAATCGACTGATCAGCAAGGTTTGCGTCTTCGATAAAGCGCTCACTGTGCTTGTTGGCATCGCTCGCGTCACGATCTTCATATAATAAGTCTACATATTGAGTATGAGTATCCAGATACTCAATGAATGCTCTTTCGTATGTTCACTTACGCAGTTTTCGTCTGTTGAATGTAGCCTGATCAATCAAGTTGGGTCAGATTGACATAGCCTAGGGTTCAGCTCGGCGGCTCGAGCAGGACGTGGGAACGTGAGTCCTCCAATGCACGGCTTTCAGGCCGAACTGAGCCAGCGCAATGCTGAGTAAGTACTGACCTGGGGTCTGTATCGATGTGTTAGCTACTATTAGCAGTATCTATCCAGTGAATCTCTGCGGATATGGGTATATAATGGGTGCAATTTTGCAATAGCAAAGGAGTCGGCATGTGAGTAAGATACAAGAAACTACACATTCGGCAAAAAAAGGCAATATACAATAAGCGTTAAGCTGCCACATCAGGAAAATGTGCTTGCTTATCTAATCCGATCGTTCTAATTCGTCAATTGACCGTGGGTAAACATCCAATAAGCGCCAATTGAAAAGCGCCTGATTATCTAATCTGATCATTCTGACTCTTAATGATCAATTCACTTTTCTGACCGTGGGTAACTCATCCCATTTGACTTTCACAACTTGACCTGCGGAGTCTCCCATCTTCGATTCTATGGACACCCGAAAGTAGCCAGATTTTGGACATCCTGCATGAAACGTAGGACACATGCTTCTAGCCCCCGCCCGTGCGCCGCCCGACGCTGCACCCAGCATCGTGTACCGCGACTGCGCGCTTTGAGGTTATGTTCTTTGTCAATGACTCTTGGAGCGGCTGGGAGAGCACGGTCGCTGCCGTTGCTGCGGTCGTGCTTACCCTCCGGGTAGGCTATTGATACGAATTTTGCAAAGCTTGTAGGGCGAGTATTGACTGCAGCCTTCCAATTGCCAAATTTGTGTGCAAGTTCAGGTAACTGAGAACCCGATATACAAACAATTATTAGGCTCTGAGGCACCCCAATCGCTGTGCGCACGACACGCACGTATGTTTCACGGCAACCCTGGCCGCGCTAAGCAATGTCGGCAGCGCACCATACTTGACGTCCAATGCTGGCCCTTATTAGGCACGATCTGCAGCGGATATGAATAATCTCGAAAGCTGAGCAACAGACAAAGTCTGGAGACGTAGCGCCGCACACAGGTCATTGGGCATAGTAAGCCTTCTTCATCGTCGTCAGCGGCGACTCAGCTCACATCCGCCAACTCAGTTCCCGTCATTGATGATGCGCCATAGGCGTCGTTCTCTACTGCATCTACGCGAAGGGAACGCTTACTTACATGCCGGCCGCTTGCGTGGGATGGCTGATGCAAACTGCAGCATGCATGAACATTATTTTGCTCACTATTCCTAAAATACATGGTGGTGAGCCGGTTTCGCTACTCGGGTACGGACTGTTGACAAAGACCATGGCACTGGGATGCCGAGCAGCCTCCACCTGCCGCTTCTCTGGTGATACCATGACTTGTTCTGTTCAGGTCTCAGCTGATTAGGTACGGATAAATATCCGATGATTTGGGTGTCGGTCTGTGCACGGAATATCGTAGGTCGTTTACTGCAGTCTACGGTCTTATTTTCGAGCAACTAACTAGACACAGGAACAGTTCGAAGCCGCAGCCAAATGCCAGTGTACATGGTGTAAATTTGCGACATCTGCCAGTTTAGCTCAAAATTCTCCGTCCCATCCAACCCTAGGTAGCGTTACATGTGGTGCCGAAGTAATAAAGTAGAATCCGATTCGACGACCTTTAGAGTCTAATTATGTGAGGTATTTCCTGTCCCACGCTGCGTGCAATGACGATCGCTACAAAGATAACGGATCCAGGCGTATTTCACCCCGCGGTACCATCACGTTCTCAGCTTTCCGCACGTAAATTGCCTTGGTATTTTTGTGCATACATTGGTGAAAACATATACAACTTTACATGTGCATAATCTCAATCCTCAATCAAGAGCACATGGGAGATGACGGGCCGAAGTTTGCTGAAGCTTTAAGCTTTAAGCTTAGCTCGAATGTTCTGTTTGAAATGCATCGGCGTCTAGTCTGATGACAAATTAGTGCTGACCGCATTCCCAGCAGCAAGTCAGACAGCCGCTGTCCATGTCCGACGCAACGATGTGCGCCTTGGAACGTGAGATGGTGGAGTATACGTACGTCCCCCACATGTTCTCATGTTCCCAAGTTTGATTTGACTAATCGCCCTCAGACTCTAGAAATACAATCCAAACAAGGACGCGGGCTGCGTGGGATGGGCAAGCGCCGCTGTCAGCGACTGACAAGCCCTGCTCATACTCCAAGAGCTGCAATTCCATACTCGGGAAGGGCGGATGGGAGCGCGTACCATCGGCTGAGCCAGGAGGGTGCTCGCCGTTCCAGTCGTCACCCTTGCGGGCGTCGTGCCCTGTTCCCCTTGGCATACCCCTTCGTTCCGAACGCGAAGTCAACAAAGGTGAGTTTTCCTTCGAGTGCGCGGTCTCTCTATCGCCCGACGCGCCAGCAGAGCAGCTCTAAGGCCGCCCCTTAGTGCACCGCTCGCCCCTCGTGGGCCGCCCGCCGCTGACGCCGCACGTGGCAGATGTCTTCTTGTCGTCGTTTCTCAGAGACGGCGGCGCGGTTGTCGTGCAGGGCTTCGCAGTGGGCGGGGGATACGAGTAATGAGGCATGCCGGACGCTGTGCGTGAGCTCCGCCTAACGCCGCGCTCGGCGCATACGCATGGCGCTCGCGCCGCGTCTCAAGGCTGTGTTCTTCGCCAGCGATTTTTGGAGCGACTGGGGGTGCACGGTCTCTGTCGTTGCCGCGGCCATGCTCGCCCTTCAGATGTGGCTACTACGATACGGATCTCCCAGAACTTGTAGAGCAGGTGTTGACTGTGATTTTCAGTTGCTGGATTCGTGTGGACCGGGGCGCCAATTCATTCGACTCAGAATTTGGGTGATATTCGAGACTTAGGCCTTGTCGCTGCTGATTATGACTGAGAACCCGACATCTGCACAGGGAGAAGATCGCGCAGCACTCTCATTGCCGTGCGCACTGCATGTACATGCATGGTTTGCGACATAAACCAGAAAATTCTCATTTGTTCCCTCGACTCTCATAGCCCCAAAAATCAACAAAACTCTATAGCGAAATATGGACAAAGCGTTCTGATAATTTTATTCCAAAAAAATCAGTAATTGACTGGGCTGCGGCATCACTATCTCTGCACTTGGCCTAACTGTAAGCCGCATCCCGCTATTCATTATATAGGCCGCTGACAATAATAATAGTGCATGTGTGCTTAGTGGTCTCCATCGCCGCATCTCTGGTGGCGTTGTGACCAGTGTTGTGCAGTTCTCAGCTGATCTGCCGCTCGGTGAATATATCACGAGGCACAGATGAAAATGTTCATTATCCCTTGTCTACAATCGATTCGTACAAGATTTTGCGGACCGGGTTGCTGCAATTTGTGACCTTATTGTTGCCTGGCCAAGCACGGATGCAAAGAGGAAGTCCGGATGCGAGTACCAGCGTATGTGGCACTGATAATTATATCTGCCAGTTTAACTCAAACATCTCGCTTTATCTAACCCCAGATAGCGCTATATACGGCACTGAGGATGAGGAGGGTCCCATCCAGATATTTTCAAATTTTGTCTGCCCGAGCTAAATTTTGTGCCGTGTTGCATATGGTACAGCACCCGTTTGTCCAGTACCTTTCTGGTACGGCGCAACGACACTCTCCTGCTTCTCCTGATGCTTCCTCTCGCAGAACTATCCAAATTTGAATAAGTTAGAAGATGATGAGATATGGAATGACAGACGTAACAACGTACGCCTGAGGTAGTTACGCCAACTTCGAACTTGCGAAAGCAATAACCACTATGTTCCAAATCACATGCACCGCACATCTTACCCAGGACAACAAAGAACCGTGTGGTGCTTAAGCAATCTCTAGGTGTCCATCGAAGCTGTCCGCGCTATCTTGCCCGGTGCCCTAACGTGATCCATAGGAACACCTGGCAGTCCCGGCGGTATAGTACATTTATCCGCAGCCCGCCGTGTACCCTGAGATCTCACATTTGAAGGTATAAGCTTTTTTTAGTGGAAGCGTAATTGACAGTCGGCTCGGTGAGGCACCAACGTGAGTTACTACTCGACCAGAGCTATTTCACATTGCGGCCGCGCTCACTAGCGTCCTCACGAGGATACTTAAGACATCCCAGCAAGGCTTTAAGGTGCAGTAGCGCGTAATGAAGCTATACTGTAGAGGTACCACCAAAATTATCGGAGGTCTGACTCCTGACCAGCCGTCTCGGTCGTGCGACTATGATACCTTGGTGAGCTGTTCAACTGACAGGTGCCAGCTTTGCTCAGGTTTTCCACGCTAGATATGGGAAGTACTGCCACAGGGTGACATGCTGTCACATGGGACCTGCTCAATTAGTATGGCGGTGCGTGCCGTTGTGCCTCTTTTCCTCACAGAGCAGAATAAACGATCGATTTTTAGTGTTAGGGAGACTACCTACGCATATAAAAGCTGGACAGACAGCCCTCAACGTACTGTAGCACATTCGTGTCGCAGTCCCTTCTCTCTACTTCGCTATCCTCTACAGTGCGCCCCGCCGTCTCGCTTCTTTATTACACGCAGTACTGACTGATCGCCCTGTGCTCTTTAGATGCAGCCCCCCACGCTCCGACTCATCGCTACCCTCACCGCCCTCGTCGCCGGTATAGCCAACGCTCAAACTACATGCACCCCAGCCTGCGTCTCTGTCACGCTACTCGATACGACCGTGGATGTCATCGAGTGCAACACTGGCACCGACTGTACGGGCATAGTTACGACTGGGGTCAGTCTCCCCCTTGTGGGCGACATTCTCGGCGTTGATGTCGGGGTACGGCTTTCTCTCATGACGCCACACCGTTAGATTGCTGACTTACTCCATTTTCAGTCGTGCACTGTCCCAGCCTGAGCGTGAGCAGCAACCGAAGGGTCAGCTACTCTGATATTTGACTTCGATGAAGATGGGGATTGTACGAATATATGCGAACAAGTATCGAGAATGGATACCCTTTGGCTGTTATATTCGAGGTCTTATGGTAGTAGTAAGATGTCCCAACTCCTTGTATCTGTAAGGCAGGAGGCCGCTGTCCAAGCGATTGATTATCCGGGTAGCTATCTGGGCGTAAATAATGGTGGGTACATCCAAAAGATGTCTTCCTGTATTGCTCTCAGGCGTAGCGTTCAATCTCAGCTCCTCTGTGCAGCAGCCAATCATTAAATTGTATGCAGTGAGGCAAATGTGTGTGAGCCTTGTGGAATTGCTCAAAATATAGTACTCTGCAATGGACGAACAAGAGCAGGGCCGGCAGGCCCTGTGGATGTTAAAATTTAAGGGATATTTTACCATCTGTCTCCTCCCTGACTTCCAAATCCTCGGCCTGATCTAACTCACAACAGTCAACTGCCGGACGACTGGGCCATTCTTAGCGACCTTCAAGGCCTCAGTATCCTGCACGCTAGCGAGGATTAAGCGAGAGGCGTCGAGAAAATGCGCTATTCCTGCAATGTGGCGTGGCAGCGACCCAGCAGAACTAGAATATTCTCGCCGTTCCCAGCTCAATAGCGTCCTTGCGAGTACGCTTAGTACCCCACCAAAAGGCCTTCAGATGCCTTAAATGTGCGCTTAAGCTATAGCTCCGTAAGTGGCGAGTTGCCCAGCAGTGACAGGTGGCGGTCCCGCCGCTCGATTCTTGAGTGCTAAACGTGAAACTGCCACGAGAGCAGCATGCTGCGCATAGAAAGCCTGCTCATTCGGCTCGCAACTGGAATGCTTGTTCGCCGCCCTCGCCCTCGCCGTTGGCATAGCCAACGCTCAGACCTGCCTTTCGGAGGCCTGCATCACTATTGAAACACTTTTCAGCCCTGAAGGCGAGCCCTTGGAAACCGCGGGTTACGTGCCGTGCTGCTCAGGCACAACCTGCACGATCATCCGGTGTTGGAACCGTAGATATTCAGGGCATCGAACTCCCGATCTCCACTGGTGTACGGTGCTTCCTTCGATCACAGGCCATAATCAATAAGATGGCAATAAGCGACGTGTTGAGCTCTTGCCAGCGAACTTCGCCCTACGTCCGGTCGCCAGGACATCTCTTGTGACACCTTCATATGTTTTCTTGGAACATCCCGTATGTCTAGCTCACGGTCTTCAGATCATTTGTTCATGTCTCTACTCTGTATACAAGGTACTACACTTTGGAAACGTTATTGAGACTTGTAGGCGGAAGGGGCAGTGACTGATTCTTCTACCAGGTTTAATTTATTGGGACACAACGAAAACATCACGGGAAATGCGGACGTTTATTTACTTTCGCACCTCGGTGTAGTACTGCGTCATTATATCATCCAATGCTTCGTATTCAGATGACCACGGAAGCTCCTACCGTCATACAAGACAGCTGGTCTTATTTGAGGCACCAAAGACACTCAAGACGTGCCCCAAGCTTGATCCTCAAGGCAAATGTCCAATCAAAGGTATCTCAACACTTGACCGCTTTGCTCGTCGGTGAGCACTCTTCGAGCCACAAATCACAGTAGCCACAAATCTTACTTGATTCTGGAGCCGAAAACACAAAGTCTAGTCTATTATTATGCTCTATCGCATGGTATAATTTTGTACAGCTACGAGTCCCTAAGGACATAAAAACCGGTATAAGTAAGTCTAGTAAGTGCGGTGACTTCAGTATCGATACAGTGGTGTCTATGTGAATATAGCGCGTGAGTCATGTAGGTCGTGATACGAGAGTTTTGTAGAGTGCAGTGGCAGGTGCACGAAAGTTAAATTAATACAATGCATCTTGCCATCGTCAGAGATATCTAGTTGGCGTACTTGCTCCACGAGCGAATGCGCGCGCCATAGCGATGCCTACAAAAGCCATGTCAGCAACGCACGCCCTAACACAGAATCCACGCCGCCACTCACAATATCCACGGGATCGGCAGCATCAGCACCGCGACGCCGCCGAGGATGCTGCACGCGGGGCCGACGCCGAGGTTATGGAAGAACGCGGTGCTGAAGAGCGGGAACGCGGCGCCGACCATCGACCGGAAGAAGTCGTTCCCCGCGAGCACCGACGCGACGTAGCGCGGGTAGCAGTCCGCGAGGTAGTTCAGGCCCGCCTGGAAGAGCATGTACGTCCCCGCGGAGAAGAACGCGGAGGCGATGATCGGCACGATCCAGTGCACGCTTGCGGAGCTCGTCCAGCCGAACCAGAACATGGATATGGGGAGCAGCACCGAGCCGACGAAGGCGATGGGCAGGCGCATCTCTGGGACGAAGGCTGCGGGACGGTCAGTAAGGTTTGGGCATAGAAGGGTAGGGTTGGGTGCGTACTGTTGTCGACGAACTTGGGCTTCAGGACCCTGAGAGCGTAAGGGGCGAAGAAGGCGAATGTAATGATCGTGCCGGCGAATATGCCCTGCGAAAGGTTCCGTGAGCTGGTTACATTGCGCTTCGTGCGACGAAACACTTACGAGGAACGCCAGTCCATTCTCCCCAAGATTGAAGCCATGTTTCTCTACAAAGACAACCCTGAACGACTCGATGAAGATGTAGAGGATGCCATAGACGAGGGCAATGTAGATGTTCCAGAAGGCGACGATCGGCTCAACGAACATCAGGATGAACGGCCGCACGAGATGCATCATCGCGATGTCGCCGACCGTCATGTGCTCCACCTCGATCTCGCCCTCAGACTTGAGCCGACTGTCTTCGGTGACGCGGCGAAGGCGTGCCGCACGGCGGTACAGCAATCTACAAACACGCCACGATCAGTTCCACTTGCTCTGAACTCAGACAGCATCACGGGCACTCACGCCGAGGCCGACGTCTCCGGGAAAAAGAGCGTCAGGAAGACGAGCGTCGCGCCGCTCATCCAGAGCAAGATCCAGATCGTCCACGTCCAGTCCTCGCCCTGCGTCGCGAAGCCGCCGAGCAGTGGCCCGAGCACGGGCCCGCTGATGCCCGCGACGCTCCAGAGGCCGATGACGACGGCGCGGTGTTCGGGTGCCCACACGTCGCTGAGGCTCGCGCCGCCGGTCGCGAGTGCGGGCGAGCCCGCGAAGCCGGCGACGAAGCGCAGGGGGAGCAGCGCGCCGAGGTTCTTCGCGAGCGCCGTCGGCACCTGGAGCACGACGAAGAGCGCGAGCGAGAGGATGTAGACCGTCGTGCGCCCGATCTGTGGCAGCTCCGAGAGCGGGCTGAGGAACATCGGGCCGATGCCGTAACCGACGACGAAGAGCGTGAGGCCGAGCGTCGCGGCGACGGGCGAGACGCCAAACTGGGCGGCAATCTCGTCGATGCCTGGAGAGTAGATCGCGGAGCCGATGTACACGCTGAAGGTGAGCAGGCAGACCTGGAAGGTGACGAAGGATTTCTTGGCGAGCGACCACTGGGGCGTGCGTCAGAAATAGGAGAACAGGCACAAAGAGGGCAGAACATACATTCTGAGGGTTCTCTGAATCGTTTGGTCCGTACCACTCTACAATGCGGGACTCGGCGATTTCTTGCATCACCGACGATTTTTCCTTTTCCTTCGCGAGATCGCCTTCTTCGACCTCCGGAGCCTTCCACTGCATTGTCCTCTGCTCTTCTGATGCCTCTGGCACAGTTATTGTTACCTGGTCAGAGTCGACGCGAGGTAACCGGGATTCTTCGTCGTCAGGGCGTTCGATGACAGTGAATGTATCGAGGTTCGAATGAGAAGATGACCTGCTCGCAGTGCTTTTGACAGATCTTGGTGGCGTAGGGATGGTGAAGCCCGAGCGGTCCTCTGGATGCTGGAAGAGACGGTGACCCGATACATGATAGAGGACGTCGCCTATGAAAGCGTCACGTATCAATGCAGGGGCCATTTAGAAGTGTGAGTGAGAGTACGAGGGAGACGATGGGGACTGACCTTTGTCTTTCAACTGTTTTTATAGGTTTTGAAAAATGAGGGCAACATGGATCTCGGTAAGCAAAGCGCAGATGAGTCGTTGTGTCGCGTCCGAGTTTCGATGGCTTGCGCAAGGACTCTGCTGACTGAGCACGGTAAGACGCTGTCCTCAGCCAATCCAAAATGAGTTCGGCATTTCCACGCGGTGGCCGTCTGCGCTGCTCTCCGCCCAGGCCGGGGGTTGTGGGCTCGTGTGAGACGCCTGCGGCCGGATATGGGCACACCTGCCATAAACGTACAGGCTGCCGTGGCTGACGTAAAGAAGCGCCCAGCAACTCGAGGGACTGACAAGGCGGAGTCAATGCAACGCTTGTGTTACTAACCAGGAACCCCAGGCGGGAACTTTCGTTTGCTGACTCACGTCTGAACCTTGGGACAGCGAGTGGGGCCGCTCAACACTCGTGGCCGATGATCATCGGCAGGCTTAACAGCTATGTCCGCAACTTTGTAAGCTGTGGCCGTGAAGTCGTGGAGGCTACAGCTACTGAAGAAACACGCAATTGCTTCTCTAGAAACTTCGGTGTGCACATTTTATCTATCTTCAACTCCACCGTCGCAGATAGAGCCAGAGACTCAGCGGAATCAGCGCTTTAGATGCCGCCCAAATTTGCGAGAGCATACCAAAGACAGGCCTACTCGCTTAGCATTTATTCCATAGTTATAGCAGCAGTCACTCGCATTTTTTACGAGTAGCATCATCGCCGGAGAAGTGCACCCAGGGCAAGGGGTAATGCACCCGCGGGTGCAGTACTTCCCTCACTCTGCACTCTTGAATTTCCTTTTTGGAAAAGAAAGAGTTGATGCTTCTCTGTGTGATAACGGCGCTTGCGATCATATGTTTATAACCCACCGATGGGACACGTCAGATTTACAGTACCATAATTCATAGCTTGAGCAAACTGCTTCGTCCCCATCTGCCGAAGGAACAAGAGGAGTGGCGCTAAGGAATATGTCCCGGGACGGCCCACCCTTTAAGCGTACCATTCCTCAGAGAGCAGAAGCCAGTCTTGTGGGATGAGCACAAAGGCCCTTTGGGTAGACATCGCTAAAATACAGAGCTCGTGAAAAGGTCGTTGCATGCAGCGGCGCGAGCCATGCGCGCAGCCAGCGTCTACAGAGTGTACCGGAAGTCTGGCGCGCGGTCGCCCATCTCGCGCAGCTCCTCCGGCGTCAGCTTGATGCCCTTCTCCTCCATCTCCTTCTGCAGCCTGTCCCGCTGCGCGTTGATGCGCTTGTAGAGGAAAACGACGATCGGGAGCGACACGAAGCCGATGCCGACGAACATGAGCTCGAGCGCGTCTGGGAGCGGAGCGGGTTAGTGCCCGGGGCGAGGGGAGGAAGCAGCGTCACTCACGTCCGAGGATGTAACGAGGAGCGTCTTGCTCGCGGTAAATGTTTGATGCGATTGCTGGGTAATGTTTCGTCAACAGGCGGGCTGCGAAATCGTGCGCGGTGTACTTACCGCCAGCGAAGTTCCCGATACCGATGTGCAGCGCCATCCCGACGCCACGCTTGTACTGCCCAGCCAGGTTATTGCCGAGCCTGCGCAACGGACTTATTAGCTGCACTTCTCCTTTCATGGACAGCGTGACTCACCAGGCGACGACACCCGGGAACGCAGCGTACGACCCTGCCACGCAGAAGAATGTGCCAAAGTACTTGACACCGATTGGCGCATGCGAGAGGTTGATGGAGAACCCAATGAGGCACATGAAGAGGCCGGCGAGGATGAAAGGGTAGCGCATCTTGATACGGTCGGACCAAACGGCAAAAATGAGCAGGACTATAGCTAAAGACAGCAGAATGAGAGACTGTCTACGTTTGTAGAATGGCGGGGACGTACTCGCAAAGACATATGGTGGCACAGTGAGCAGCTGGCTGATCGCCGTGTCGAACCCGAAGCTGAAAGGGAAGTTAGCACTGGTATTTTTGGCTGCTGTCCTTAGATGAAACAAACCCGTTGATGATGGAACTGAAGCAAAAAAGAAACGTCAGCTACGCATAACGTGTGAACTGATGGGCACGTACGGTAAGAAGAGGGAGATGCCGTAGACTGCGCGGCACGGTATCAGCGATGGACGACGAAATTACAAGTGACATACGCGGTCCGATGATCGACATGTACACCAAAATTTGCAGCCAGATTTGCCAGTCCTTGAGAGCGGCCCAGACATGGCGCAACGCAAAGTGCTCTTCTTCGCCGACCGAGGAGTTGTCATACTCTGCGAAGATATCACGTAAGGAATTAGGTATCCTCAAATCCCACGAATACTCACTCTTCTTCCAGATGATGTACGCTTTCTCCTCGGGCGTCAAGAACTTGGCGGTATCTGGGAAGTCGACCAGGACTGAAGAGGGTATTAGCTTTGCGCAGGTCTTGATATAGTCAGGGAAGAGCACTGACTAAAAAGCGAGATAATGCCAACGCATACAGTGGCGATACCCTCGATGATCTGGTAGGGGACACACCAATTAGTAGATGCACACGTAGCAGCGTGCATTAACGCACAAAGATCCAAGACCAGCCGAGCATTCCATCAGTACCACTCATGAACGATATGCCGAAGGCGAGAAGACCGGAGAATGCACCTGTTCAAGAGAGCATTATCAACATTTACCTGGCCTTATCAGGATGAGCAGGTAAGACGCACCAGCGACCGTAGCACCTCCGTAGAAGATCCCGATGCGCCATTGGAGCATGTGCCTAGGGTACCATATTGACAGGCTGTGGTGATACGCGAGCCTCAAAAACCATTCTCCCGACATGGGCGGCAGTACGCACTAGTAGACAACGCCGGGGAACAGACCCGCCTCTGCAATTCCAAGGGCGATACGGGTCCCAACAAGGTTGGCATAGCTGCAGAGAGAGTTCCGCATAAGCTGAGCCGAGCTCGAACAGAAAATTGAACACACGTTCGGTCTAGGCCCATGAGTGTTCTGGCACGAAAAGAGAAAACACGCGGTTAACGGTATGCAGCGCCGAAGACTTGTCATGCGGTACATACACGATTATACCCCATACGATCTATAATCACGGTTCGCCCGCTTTTCAGTCAATTTTCGTCGAAAATTCTGAGGCGCTGTCAACGCACTGTGATACCCGGAAGCCATCTACACGGGGTCAACGGAGATCAGAAGAGGCAACCAAGAAGTTCCGTGCGGCGTACCTTGATGGGCGGAACTTTTTCAATACCAAACTGTCAGTATGTGAGAAGAAACGCTCAGCAGACCAACCTCCAGTATTCAGTATGAGGGGTCGCTTACTTGGCTGGACATTCAAAGATACAGTAGGGCTGCGGCGCCCACGTGAGAACGACGACCTGTCAGTCGTGGAATAGGAACTCACAATGAAGTACATGGTCTATAGAAGAGTGAGATCCGTGTTCGACTTATCCAAATCGAGAGCTTACCAGGGCAATGTTGTACTTGTTGCCGGTCAGGTGCAGTTGGGATGTCAAGCCCTGGAGCTTTGCATTGCCTGTACAACCGCCAAGTAAGAGTGGCATCTGCCTTCAAAGCAGATGAAGCGCACCAATATTTCCTCGGTCGAGGAACGAGAACAGATACATGATAGTCAAAATGGGCATAAGCCACAAATCGACTTTGCGGTAGAGCTTCGCCTCCTGCTCCGGAGTGAGCTTCGGCGGCGGCGGCAGCTTATTGTCGCCCCCGAATTCGAGTTCATGGGCGCTGCCACGAGAGGATACGGTCTCGACAGCCTCTTCCCGTGCCTCCTTCTTCTCGTCGAGGCTAACTTTGCCGGACGGGTTTGGGCTTCCTGTCATATTGGCCAAGACTTCACGATGAGCGAGAAGGGAGGCAGGAATGCACGCAGACAGACCTGGAATACCGCGAAGCTCCACTCTTTATACATTCGTGAGATGGCGTGTACCACACCCTCGGACCATGTGCCGCATCCCAATGCTGATGCAGCTATCGCAGGATGATGGGGACGCGCGAGGCGCTGATGGTGTGAGAGAAGTTCCACGACCGTATCTTGCGTTCGCCCCGTCTTGCGAGCCATTGCCCCGCATATGCATAGATGGGTGCAAATCGTCGCAGACGACGTGTGAAAGGCCCGTTGCATCGGTTTCGGCAACCAAGAATACGCACAGTTACGGGGCCGCTTGTGAGCAGTCCATCGGGGCCGTAGTGCCTTCACATTGCCGAGAGGCACGAATGCAAGACACCAGGGTGTATTGCACGGCCATCAATGTGTACAAGCCCCATGACCGGCATTTTACGCGAGCTGTATGCCACGTATTGTCAACATCATCACCGCGAAAACTTTCACACAATTACATACTCACAGAAAAACCTGGTGAGTATGTACTCATGAGTAGTTAAGCATGTTATTGGATGGCATAAGAGATTCGTAGAAGCTTTTCATTCAGCTGTTTACAGCAGTGAAAGGAATGGACGAGTTTTGAGCCAAAGTTTAGACGCGTACTCCGGCAGCCACGTGGGCATGTTTATTGTTATTTAATCGGGCGCTACTTCAAGCCCAAGCCCGGCTTGAGCAAGAACTAGTACTTGCGCTCATTTGAGACATTACAAGAGGGAGGTAAGCATGTGAGTAATATGTATATCTATTAGCTTTTTGTGCATTGCGGGTCCTTACCTTTTTCGCGATTATCTGCGGAACTGCGGAAGCTTGACGGGCTCGTCTTCGTCCGTATCAAGCTCATATGCACATCAGGCTACCATGAAGGTGGCGGAGGTTTGCGGCCTCCACTGATTCTCTTGCTTCTGGAACCACCCAGGGGTCAGATAAATAAGGATACGGATACCCTGGGATTCTACATACCCCCACGTACTTGCTGGGACCTTCCTCTGCGGAGGCTTTCGCCCCAGTCTCGTCTCCGTGTCTCGCCAGAGTGGTACCACTCATGTTGTACTATTCGCCTACTAAAGCGGAAGTTCTCGAGGCTGCTCGCTCTGCGATCTCTATCTTTGCATCGTATGGCCTGTCCTGCTGTCTGGTCGGCGGCGTAGGCTGCACTCTGTTCGGCAATGAGCGCGATCCCAATGTGCTGTTCATCGTAGCCCTCTGCCGTCCCAGTACTGAACAGTCAACAGGACGTGGACCTCGTTGTTATGAGCTCGGCTCACGATCAGGAGTCCCTGAAAAGGATGCTAGCAGATCGCGCGGGCTCTCGATTCTACACCGTTCCCGGGCGTACGCCGGGCGCGACCTATAAGGTATATGCCCCGTCCATCACGCACCTATGAGATCTATATGTTTCTGTGGTACAGGTTCTCTGGTACAAGCTTAGGGGACCTTACGGCTCCACCTTTCACTCCTGCAAAGTCGACATTCTCATGCCCGGCATCATGAACATACCTGCTGTGCCCACCGCTAGCGTACTGCGCATCGATGAGCTGCCCGTTATGCCCCTAATTCCCCTTATTCTTCTCAAACTGCAAGCATGGGAGGATCACCTCCTTGCTTCGAAGTTCTACCTCCGGGTGAAACACTATACTGATGCAGCAGACTTGGCACAGCTGCTTCCGATAGCTATCCGCCGCGGCAACAGCATTCGTCAGGAGAGTTGGATACCGGAGACGTTTGTTGCTGCAGCAAGGAAGAGATTAGAGGTGTATCTAGTCTGGTATCCCACCCAGGCTCGTCAGTGGGAACAGATCGGACTGAAGAAAGCATCGAAGCATCCCCCGCTGAGACAAAGTAAAAAACGGAACCACCACGTTCGTACTCTAGCTTAGATTTGTAAACGCAGAGAGAAACTATGATTGTGATGCCAGTCAAACTTCGCGGGGAAGAGCACGGAAAAATGTGGAGGGTTGTTCTCGGTCGTGTACAGATCGAGAGAGCGTAGGATGCGTATACTCACACGCTCAACGGCTAGCGTGGGCTATGATGCGGCATACGACTCATCGTCCACGTTCTACCGCGCCGGATGAATACAGGATAACGACATTAATGTCTTCGGCGCATGCAACTCGCTCGATGAACAGCAATGTTGTCCATGCCAAACGTGTACACCCCAATATGATCTTTCGATGAGGCATAGCATCTTCCACCACCGGATTCGGTCACCCAGGTGCAAATTGGTCACTTTGGACACGACAGACATATCTGCACCCCCTAGGGGATCTCTTAGGTACTTCGTGAGACCCTCAAACAGACGCAATGCCTTAATTAAAATAGCGGTCTTCACCTTCCTCTCTCAGTCAAGGTAACGCAAACTTGAATGCCGTTCTATGCCCCAGAGGCTCGTGCGCCAACAATCCGCCGAGGATGAGTACGACCCCCGAAGTCTGGGACAGCAGATCAAGGATATGTCGGACGCGGCCTCATGGCAGCCGTGATGCTCTGCAGTCTTGCTCTATGTAAGCAGGCCAAGCAGCGAGCGGCAACGGGACAGGCCCTTCCGGGCGCCAGGCCGCCAGGCCCTACAGCCCCGTAGCTGCAGTCTCAATGTCTCGGTATTCAGCTGGTACATGACAGATATATAGTAATTTTGGGCTATAGCTCTCGCAAGATGGGACGCCTACAAAGCTTCGCGCTTTGTCGCCGCGTCCAGAGGGCACCAGCCTTTGTGAAGCTCCGAACAAGATTAGCCCCCACGTTGCAAACAAGGGGCTGATTGCACAATACGTAGCCGTTATCGACGGCGAACCTCGAGTCGCCAATGAGGCCAGACTACTGGGTTTCTGAAGGGCGGTACGCATACTAACTGGCGTCTTGCTGGATCGGCATGCACAACCTATGTTTTCGAGCTAGTGATGTGCGGGCCCGGCTTGGGCTCAAAGCCCGGGCTTGGGCTTGTGGCGACGTCGAGCCGAGCCCTGAGCCCGGCCCAAGCCGCGGGCTTGCTCACAATGCAATGAATATTCTGGTGCTATCAACAGGGAGTGTATTTGGATGTAGTATATCATTGCTGCATGTACTCACAGAATTATAACCTCCAGAAGACGTATACTCGCGGAATAATTCGAGTCGCAACGAAGTCCACAAGCGCGCGCCTAGGGCAGACACTAGACGGTGATGCACAATCGTGCTCGGCGGGGACCGTCAAGTCTAAAATATTCATATTAGGTCTGGTATGTACACATCAGGTCTCTCTCACCTTATTCTGAACTCAAGGAACAGTAACAGAGCCGGTGCACCCAAGCCTAGGCTTCCGGGTCGGGCTTGGGCTTGACTACGCTCCGAGCCCGGCCTTGGGCCCGCTGCCAGGCTTGGCTCGGGCCAGGCTTTTTGGGCCGGGCTTGGCGGGCTCGCGGGCTTTGAGACCCAGGTCACTAGCTGAGCCAGAAACATGGTGTTGAGCCGTTGGCATCGATGCACCATCAGACGGCGGTGCGGCTGGCATAGGCGGCGGAGCTGGAGTGGTCGCAGATAAAAACCTGGTCCCGAAAAGGAATGCAGGAGCTTGCGATCCTAACAGAGCCAAACATCGTCTTCACGTGCCAGCCGTCCAGCGCAACCGAAAACGGCCGGTCCTACAGAAAACCCAGGCGAAGACACCCACGGCACACAGAGACACGGCATATATCCAAAGAAAAAAAATGATGAGAGACCACGGCATGACGGACTAATATACAACAGCAGGCATGAGTGCATCATATCGTAGACAGCATCGGGCAAGCGAAACACAATGCGGGGGAAAATAGTATGCAGTGTACAGTATATGCGCGTTGCGAGGGGCGAGCGGGCGGGCGTTGCCAAGAAAAGGGCAAAGCTTTTCAAACCTTCTCCATGTCGCTCTTGACAGAGCCCTCGTCGAGCGGATGCACCTGCGCGAACTGGCGCTCCTGCTGCTCGATGTCTGCGAGCCGCTTCTCGGCGTTCACGGAGCCGAATATGATGTCCATCTCCTCGAGCGAGCGGCCCTTGGTCTCTGGGATGAGCCTGAATGAAAGAAAAGAGAAAACAACCGTCGTCAGTCTCCGCGAAGAACAAAGGGGGGAAGGGGAAGAAAAGGCCCGCCCACTCACAAGCTGAACACGGCCATGCCGCCGATGTTGATCGTCGCGAACATGAGGAAGATCTTGTAGCCGAGCGCGGTCTTCATGTCCGGCGTCCACTTGGAGACGATGAAGTTGAAGAACCACTGGGACGCGCTCGCGGTCGCGAGCCCGTAGTGGCGCGTGCGCGTCGGGAAGATGTCCGAGACGTACACCCACGGCAGCGGGCCCCAGCCCATCGAATAGAAGCAGACGTAGATGTACAGCATCGCGGCCATCGCCTTGCTTGCCGGCGGCGGCGAGAACCCGGGCGGCGGCGATGCGGGCGGCGGGAACGTCTTGAGCAGCGCCCCGATGATGAAGAAGAGCACGCCCATGCCCACCGCGGAGATGAAGAGCGAGAGCTTGCGCCCGAGCGTCTCGACGAGGAAGAAGACGAAGATCGCGGTCGCGACGACCTTCACGATGCCGTAGATCCCCGACGCGAGCAGCGAGTTCGTCGTGCCCGTGAAGCCGATCTGGGTGCGCATAGAAAAAATTGTCAGCTACGTGCATACGCGTGCGAAAGCAAACACCGAATGACTCACGGACGAGAAGATCTGCGGCGCGTAGTAGCTCACGCTGTTCTGGCCGCACCACTGCTGGAAGAGGAAGATCACGATGGCGATGACGAACCGGATCCAGTTGCCCTTGCCGAGGAAGGCCTCCTTGAGCCCGAGACCCTCCCTCGCCACACGCTCCTCCTCGATGGCCGCCTCGATCTCGGCGTACTCATGCAGGAGAGACTCGTGGTATTCGCCCTTAGAGTTCGGGGGCAGGTGGCGCAGGTAGGAGAGGTTCGCGAGCGCCTCTTCGTGGCGGCCTTTTTGTGCAAGCCAACGCGGGCTCTCCTTGACGGTGAGGAGACCAAACGCCATGATGCCCGCGGGAACAAGCTGCATGCCAAAGGGGATGCGCCAAATGGCCGGGCCGGACGTGATGTGGAGCGAGATACCAACTGGGAGGAGAAAGACGTCAGTTGCCTATTTTTGACACAAGGCTCACGCCAAGGAAATAGAAGAGCAGCTCTAGAGGCGATGGCACGAGGGGACCGGACTTAATGGGAAATACTCACGATTGATCCAGTAGCTCAGCATGACGCCGATGGCGACCATGATCTGGAAGAGGCCAGTGATACGGCCTCGAACCTCCTTCGGCGCGCACTCGGACACGAATGCGGGCGAGACGGCGGAGATACCACCTATGCCAAGACCGGCGACGACACGACCGCCGTAGATGTAGCCCAGGCCGCGTGACCCCCCAGATATGGTTTGGAGGATCTAGACAGGAATTTGCTATCAGCACAGGGACACAGCAGCCGGTGTTTGGGAGACGTACCGCGCCGACGGCAAAGACGAGTGTGAAAACGAGGAGGGTCCACCGTCGTCCAATGTACGAGCTTACGGGGGCGCTGCCGAGGGCACCGAAGAACGCGCCCGCCTGGAGAACGGAGACGATGTTGGACGAGACGTCGTTCGTTTTCTGGACGTTCCCCGCATAACCGAAGTGGGTCTCGAAGTAGGGCTGTGTAACGACACCTCCGCCTACACCGCTGTGGTAGGACAATGCGGGTTAGAACCTGGAATGTGAGGTACGGCGGGGAAGATGACGCACGTGTCGTAGCCAAAGAGGACGATGCCCCAGTAGACGATAAAGGCGAGCCCTGCACAGAGAGTCGGTGTGTGATGGACGACACGAGCGTATGAGCAGGTACTCACAGTAAACCCTGATGTTCTGAAAGACGCCCCGCTTGGGCGCACCGTAGTCGAACTCAGCCGCCATGTTCAGTTTCGCCGAACAGTTGCGTAGGACGGTTGGACTGGTGACGGCGAGAAGGAGATGGAAGAGAGCGGGGAAAAGTCAATCTGGGCTCCCGGCGGGAGCGTACATCTGACCATGGACCTTTATGTACCCGCGGTCTTGCGGTGATGGAGGAAAAGATAGAGGCTGATGGCCATTCGCTGCACGAGGAGCACATGCTCGCCTTCCCCGTTTCCCCGCAGGCGCCCAATTACAGACCAACTCAATGTGGGGTACCCCGGGCGCTCAGAGCGGTCCCTCGCGATATCTGGCGGCCCGGCCAGGCACGCCCCGCTCTCGATTGTTCTGCCCGTGACACCATCTCGCATCCTCCCGCCACGGCGCAGGTCGGCAGGGAGAGACATGTCGATGGTGTCTCACACTTGTTGGCGCAGCCGTGCCACCACAAATGATTGGCTTCGAGTGTCAAAAGTCTATCTGTGCCATGGAGGGTAAGAACGAGCGGCGGTACAGGACTGCACTGGCAGCAGCAATGCCAACAGTCATGCACAACAGTCTAGGCTTGATGCCCCAGACTCCCCCGCAAATTTCGAAACATCAGAGCAACAAGCGGTTGGCATCCAATCCCCGTTTTCTCGCACATCGCTATTTCTGGCAGAGCAGTCGCCCTTGTGCTCTGACGCCAACAGACGGAGGTTGCCCCAGATCCGAACAGCTGCGGTGGCCAACTTGAACGTTCCGTTGCGCCAGTGAGCGTAGTGGCGGGATGCGCTAGGCACCGGGAACTCTTACCGTCGGTCCGGCCGTTGAAACGTTGATTTTGGTATATGAACATGGTCTTAGGACCCAGGGGATCCTGCCTAGTCGGCAAGAAACCCTGCGCCGCTTCCCCTTGCACTGAATTTACAGGCGGCAGTTGAGCCGAGAACATATTGCCCACCTTCATCACTTCGAATAGGCAATTTGACCAAATGGCTATGTCCGCAGAGGGAGCGGCTGCAATTACTCAGGTCTCAGCGTGGAAAAACGTTCTTTCCCAGCTACAACTCGCAGCCTTCCAAGGCGCATGCTCCCAGCGAGAGCTTGACGTTTCGAGCCTAATCATCCCTGCTTCGCCTGAGAACGAACGGGCCCGCCGACATACGGACGCCCTGCGGAACGCGGCAAGTCTTGTAGAAACTTAAGATTACGGCATGTCTAGAGAAGCGTGAGCTTCTTGCGTATCGGAATACGTCGTAGCAAAGAAGCACAGCGGTTCCGAGCATGCGAACCCTGCAGATCACCATTGTCAGACGATGCGCCAAGCGTCGAGGATTCCGAAAACGTATGCCGAAGACAGAGAAGCACAGTCAATTTGACAGGGCGACAGACCGTCGGCCGAGAGCCCGTGCGCGTGCGCGTGTCGTCATAAAAGAGCAGGATTTACAGAGGAGACTTCTACTCGTTGATCGACCGCTGCCAATGCAGCGCCGATCAGTCATCTACGGTGATGCAGTCTTCCACGAATAACGTACCGGTGTTGTGTGCCTATGACTTCACTCCGGGGCTGGGTTACACTCTCGGGAGGTGCACGGTAGCACGTCGGCGAAACGCGCACTCCGCAGTGTTCGCTTATCCGTCGAAGACACTGACGTGCGAGTGCGCGGCGTTCGTAAAATCACGTTTCACACGTTGATGTTCGGGGACATGCTGAATAACGTGCGACGCTTGGCCGTTGGCCAGCGTGGCGCCGTCCGTGCGCTTTGAACAATTGTATTCATGGTGCCTCGTTCTTGGAAGGATCAGCGGGCCCTGTGAAAGCATCATGGAGCAGGTCATACTTTCGTAATACTTCTACTAGACTCATAAGCGGCTTTGAAGGGTGGCATAAGACGACGGAAAGCTAAGAAGACGGTGCGAAACAGAGTTGCAAGTGCCAAAGAGCGTAACGAGCGTTTGGCGTCTGTTTGCCCGACCACAATACAGGCGCATCAGGCGCATCGAAATTAGTGCCAAACGGGAAGCGATCAGCCTGGGATCCTAACAAGCGCAAACACACGTCCCCACCAGAACTCAAGCTGTCCGCGCGGGTCTTGCTGCCCTTTCACCAGCATCGAACGAGAACGTCGCAATGGTATATAAGACTTTGAAAGCACATATAGGCGGTACGACAACACCCGCGCCGCGCACCTTGAGGCAAATGGTGGCCGGCGCGCTCAGTCAACCCACCCGGAGCCGACGCACACGACCTCTCCGGGCGGGCCGGCGTACGATCTCGTCCTGCGATCGCGTCTAATTGACGGGAGTATCAAAACCTGCACGGCAACGTGTCTATGTCCGCCCGCCCGCAATGGGGCCTACTGTAGTACCTGCATGTACGACCAGTCCGGCAGAGCGGCGAGTTCGCCATTGGCCTATGGCACCGGTCAAGAATGCGGCGGCAGCCCAGGCGTGACCCGGTAGGGCCGCAACACAGACAGGAAAAGCAATAACGCTACGGAAAGAGCGAGTAGGTCTTCTCTCGTACGTTCTGCCCCATAAGCCCGAAAAATGTTAAATATTCAAATATTGATCTTAGCGGGGGAAAAATGTGGGAGGCGGCGGAACTCCATGTGAGGACGTGACTGCCGCTCTCAAGAGCGGCAGTAGGAGGTTACGTGACGCATGATGCGTCGGAATAGTCGTACGGGTACGGTATTAGCACACTTGCCCCGGCGACGGGAGATGTGCACGCGTTGGCAACCCCCCCCCCCCCCCCCCCCCGAGCTCCGTCTAATGCTAAGTACATCCCGCGTATGGTCACGAGGTTTACACGCATTTGCCTCATTACACAGGAGAGCTGAGCTGGTCACCACATCCAGGATACGCATCTTGAGGTTTTGTCTTAGGGTTTTGTCCTGTGGTAGATGCAATACATGAAGGCACCTTTCTTGCGCATCCATCATTATATAGGCCCAAATAGCGGCCAGGAGAATCCTCCGCTCAGACACCCCGATCGTATTGAAGAACCCTTCAATTTCACTGCTAAATCGTATACATTTCTCGCTACTCATTCACATATACTCGTACAATCTCTATCCTCCATCGAAGCCGTACATCGGAAGAACTGATCCTTGGATTACTGCTCAAGCTTAGGCTGTTTCGCCATTAAGCGCACGTCTGAAACGGAACAGATTAGCAATTTAGCGGTGTGACGTCGAGAAAAAAAAGCCGTACCCCAGCATCAACGCTGACGGTACCCAGAGGGGGGAGAGTGATCGTGTTCACAGTAGTTATCCCCGTGCAGGTAGTGCCTGTGGGGCACGTGATGACATCTATGGTCCCAAGCATCGGGACGTCGAGAGAGACGCAGGCCGGGACGCACACAGGCTGAGCATTGACCAAGCCTGCGGCGAGGGCGAGGGTAGCGATGAGCGTGGAGAACTGCATCTAAAAAGCAAGGACAAGGCAATCAGTAGTGCGGTGCAACAAAGAAGTAAGACGAAGAGCGCACTGTTGCGGGTAGCGAAGTAGAGAGAGGAAGCTGCGACACGATTGTGCTGCTGGAGAATGTTGAGGGCAGTCCGCCCCCCTTATATAGGCGTAGACCACCCCCCAAGATCCAAAAGCGTCCACCCAGTCTGCTCTGTTAGGGAGAGAGACACTGCCGTACCGAACGAGTATGGCTCCCATGTGCAACATACCGCCCTGTGGCACCTCCACCCCTAGTACGCGGACCCTTGAGCAAAATTGGCACCTGTCAGTTAAGCAACTCACAAACTGATAGCTAAAGCACGCACTAGAGTTTCTTAGGGCATTGCTGTGAAGTGCTGGGCGTACCCGCGAGGACACTAGCGAGTACGGCATGGCGAAACGGTTCCAGTTGAGTCCGGGCAGCCTTGATGGTGGTGGGTACGGTACAATGTTAGATCTCTAGACCAAAGGCATCGTCGCAGCTAGCCACCTACACATGCTGTGCGCAAAATTACACGGGTGTCATGGGATGAGTTCTGGAGAGCTGCGGCTGCTGGCAGTGCGTGCAGGACCACATCCTGTGCCTAAACACATGATATTTGATCAGTGGATGAGAGAGGCTAGGAAAAAGTCCCACACGTTCGTTCTCTGAGGCGCGAAATGTCCTGTGGTACATTTAGGCAAAATATCATCGTTTATGTTAGTCACCACCGCCATCCGGCGAGATTTAAGGACGCTGAAGCACGTCCTGAATGACATTGCGAGGCGGTAAGCTGTACATACAGCACCTGTTTCACGGGACAGTGACAGTGCCTTGCTTGACAATATGACTCCATTTGTCGGAGTAGCTAAATGAACGTGTGGCGAGCATTAAGGCAGCGGTTACCATATGCGGAATGACGAATTATATAATGGCGTAGTAGTAGCTCACATTAGTGCCTTGTTGACTGTCAGTTATACTTTCATGAAAGAAGCTTATAGGACAGAGGGGTACCTTGTTCGCTTCTCAGTGATCCCTTTAGGATGCACGGCGGATTGCTACTGGATGTCACGCCATCTCGCGAGGATTGCTAAACGTTCCTATGGATCATATCGAGGCACAGGGGGATATAAATGGGATGGGTTTGATGAATGTCCAGACATCGATTTAACGCCACATGGCTCTTTGTTAACCCGCATGCAACGTTCGACGAACCTCGGCTGAAGTACGAAATGGTTGTCATTTTCACCTATTTTGGTGCAACTGTGTGGCGTACCTACGTGTGTAGTCACGCCTCTGTCATGTTCTGACCTATTCTGGCCTGTTTTTGAATAGATCTGCTAGAGGATGTATCGTGAGAAGTAGGGGAGTATCACTGGGCCGTGCCAGAAAAGGGCAAGAGAATCGGGCGCCACATCATATGTAACGCGGGACAGAATTGAGATCGGACAGTGAGACCGCAGAAGTCTTTGGACGGGATCTATCTCGTCTTCGGCTCCGCCCATAACTCTACCAACACGCGAGGCTAGGGAGGGCGGAAAAGTTTGAGCCAAACGGGCAGATGTTATACATGAATGTCACGTACACTATTACTCACGGCCGCACTTCCGTTCTACGTCCGAGGTTGGCAGCTCAGCAACAAGGTCATGGAACACAGTAAATCAACCGCATGAGGCCTTGTGCGAATCGATG